CCATGTAGTTTCCTGTGTGTGTGCCTCTTGCCTGCACAGTTCCCTGTGTGTGTGTGCGCTGCCCATGTAGTTTCCTGTGTGTGCTGCCCGTGTAGTTCCCTGTGTGTACTGTCTGCGTGGTTCCCCAAACTTGCATGGTGTTTAAAAATAGAAACACACATACAAATCTCGATCTTAAATTTTTTATTTGTTGCACTCTGTTGCACAGAGGAGTCATCTCTGTAAACACAAGTTTAAGCTATGACACATCAGTATGTACATTTGTAATGAATGTAATTATACAAAAGCCAGAAGGCAGAACATTATTGAACACTGTATAACAGTGTTAAGGACTATACTAAGCACAGCCCAAACACACAAAATACTGCAAACATACCACTTTACTTATTACCAAACTACAGACTTTATTCTTTGTTTAAACCAGGGATAAAACTGATGCATTTTCTTCTGCCAAAGTCAGGTGTCATGTGTATTTCCTTCAAACACTCTTTTCAGAAGACAAATCTAGCCATGAAGCTGGAACATGACACAGCTCAGAACCATTCGCAGTGGACATGCTGAAAGATGCTACTTGGAAAGATGCTATCACAGTACAAAACAGAAATGGCAGCTTTTTAAAAAGCATTCTTATTAAAAAAAAACATAAATCAAAAGCCCACCCGCCACTAAAATATTGCTCTGGAAAAATGAACAGGAATTATACAAGCCTTAAAAATATGCCAAAAGGGCCTTTATCCCATACTGCGGACTGAACCCAAGCACAGGAGCCTTTAATAGTGTACAGTTCCTATTCCTTCATTTTTCAAGCAAAAATGCCACACCGGCCATCTTCATGGTGAAAGCGATAATGAAGGAAACTCAAACTAGCATGTGGCCCTGCAGATGTCGAACACACCTTGAAAAACATGAAGCGGTCAAATATGAACTCTTAATTCCTGACTCTGAACATGCTCCCAGGAATGGTGGTGTGAAGGGTCCCTGTTTGTGATAGTGTACGGTAGCTCAGGGGACTCAAGCACACATAAAACACACCAAACAGCAGTGTAAATTGAAGGCGAAGGGGCTTTCCTGGCTTAACTCACAAACCTTCACAAATACACAAAGGAAACCAAACCAAAAGACTTCTACAATGGAAATCAATCCCCGGACGACAGGTAAAGATGATGCTGCCACCACCACTTTTCTGACCAAAACCCCCTTATACAGGGAGGCTGGACTACTAACGTCCCACACACACTTTCGTACACAAAACCCACTAAGTAACCTCACGTGAAAATGCACACGTTCCAACAAGAGTTACACAGGGTGAAGCATTTACAATCATTGAAGTCTCTGAGGCCCTCTTGTGGCAGCCACCCGATCACTGCAGGTCACTGCAGACGTATAGGGCAATGTGCCATGATGGGTTACCTGGAAAAGACCCCAGGTGCTGTCCAGAGAGCAACCTAGCAAGGTGGACGGTTCAAAACTTCAGAAAAAGGGGCATTTAGGACATTTAAGATATTCTACTGAAAGGAGAAAAGTCGTTTGAAAAAAAAACAATTAACCAAACAATCTGTTAAACAAAAAAGACCATTAGAAGCAAGGGGAGGTGATTTGACCCATCTAGTCCATTGGGTAGCTGAATGATTTGGTGGGACTCTTGGTGCAAAGCAGTATAACCGATTTCAGCTTCATGCAAGCTGCAGAAATCTCTGGAAGCAGAAAAGTTTTAACGGTCCATGTCAGTCTGCTGGGTTTTACTTACAATTAGGTAACATGCAGGAAATATTCAGCACCTGCCTTAAATACATGAGTCTGCATCTTAAAACATTCTGAAATGGGTCACATTACCATGTAGTGGGTCTCAGATTGCAAACCTAGTGGTGCATGTGAAGGATATACACTTGAGCTCACAATGTAATGAGCATTTACACTGTTACTTTTGGTCAGAATTATATGATGTCTATAAAATATATGCACGGATAAATACATTTATTGCATTTGATCCTGGTGCAATTTGGCACTGTGAAGGCAGTGATAGTGGACTGAATGCTGCTGGTAAATACTGATTAGGATCATTTCTTATCCTGCGGCAGTGTGACTGCTGAAAGGAATATGTCAGGACTCAACTGTTAGTAGGGACTGCTGTTCAGCATCATCATTTGCTTTATTCAAAAATGAGTAAAGAATTTTTGTCAAAACAACATGATTGAGTGTCTTAAAACTGACCTCAGAACATTTTTAGCTTGGGATTGCTTTCTAAATTTTCTAGACTTTCAATTGTTTTTCATTGTTTACAGTAAGAACAGTACTTCCTTCTCCTTGTTGAATTCCGCAGAAACAGCATGGCAAAGTAACCACACTCAAATCATCTTCCTGCATAAACAGCATCCGTGACGCTGGCAGGAAGAGTGAACATTGATCTGGTTAAGGAGGCAGGGCAAATGCACAGAGCTGACGATGACAAGATGAGCTGGAACTTTGATCTTAACCACACAGCAGCGCAAATATGCTTTCTGTGAGCTCTTGGGATTTACGCAACCTGTAGAGCAGAGGGCAGTATTCTGTCCTCTGCATAAATCAGAGAGAAAAATGAACCTCTTGTGCTAGCTAAGTGAGATGTCATGCCATCAGCTACCTCTGGTACAGGATGAACTGTGAGATGTGAGGTTTCATATTCATGAAAAATATTCGTATGCAGCCTGTAGCTGTACACAGCATTCCACTAAACAGAAGGGGAGGGTTTCTAAACAGTTTTCTTGCACAACATCAAGCATGCCTGCTGACCTTCGCACCCTGATCGCTGCTGTCACTTCACTTTAGAGACAGAGTTCGTGGCCTGTGTTTCCCGTGTCTCAAACTACCTTCAGACAATACTCACACAGCCTCACGTACTCAACCACACATCACCTCTACCCATCCTCAAGAGTGTCTTTCTGTTTGCACCTTTGCAAGGTTTGTAAGCTTGCGGCCTGGTATGTGTACTCCAATGGTATTGTCTGCTTCTTCAATTCCTGGACATCAGAACGACTCTACACGGGTCTTTTACAAAGGCCTGTGACTTTCGACACTCTTCTAACTAGCAGGAACTAGAGTGCTAAAAAAGTTTGCTTTTTGCAAAAGTTGTTTGCTCTAATTTTCCTGTGCATTGATTTATGTCTGTTATTTTGTCTGTTTCTAATCCCTTTGTGTGCTTCATGAAAACCTGATGAATGACCTCCTTGCTGATTTCTAAGTCACAGCCAAAGTCTTTGAACTGGGCTCTGAACATGTGACTAGTGCACACAGAGAGGTGAGCGATCTCTGATGAGATGGCCTTGTCTGTCACTATCATGGCTGGTGGAATGGGATGCCTTCTTTTACTTCAGGCAAATCTAAAAGCAAAAATACGATGAGTCTCAAGCAGACAGTTTCGTTAGATAATTCAACTGACAGTGTTAAGAATGAGCCGTTTTCCATATCTCCATTACTGCGTGCGCTTGCGTGCCTTTTTTACCTCATTCGGACAGATTTGGGAATTTCCACAGTTTTGTGCTTGACTGGTGATGTGCTGTCGCTCGTATCGGACGTTTCAGCCACCTGTGGGCCGGTCAACCCCCTCCTGCTAGTCTGAGGGCTGACAGCTCCTTTCTTCTGCAGCTGAGGGCTGGACAGCACCTTCCTGCTAGTCTGAGGGCTGACCGCTCCTTTCTTCTGCAGCTGCGGGCTGGATGTCCCTGCTCCAGCCTTGCGGTTCGTCAGAGGGCTCCGGGAGCCCTTGATTTTGCTCGGCTGCTGCTGTGTATCCGTGCCCTTGAGAGTGCGCAGAGACAGCAGGCCGCAGTAGTAATTGCACTGGTGGAGTGTGATGAACTGCTCAAGCAGACGTGGGGCACAGCTATCTGCCAGACCCTGATAGCTGCAAAACAGACGGAGAATCACCGCACGTTAACAATGTGCAAACCTGCAGATGGGTGGCTCATGTATCATACCTGAAGTTACAATTAGCAGCTTAAACACATGAGCTGCATGAGAAGTATGTAAAGTCTCATTATAAGGCACACCCAGGAAGCCATTCAATATCAAATATTTAATACTCTATCTGTAAACAATTAGCTTGTGTCTGACAAAATAAAACTGAATCATTTAAAGTGGATACATTTTAAATACAATATTTGATAATATTTATACAAAATACAATGCATTATTTCCTGCAATGACATGAAGCGTCTCTCTTACTTCCTGTTGCCATTTCAACATTTTTAAAACTTTCCTTCAATGACATCATTCCCTTTAATTCTACTTCTTAACTGGCATTTTGTAACACAATAAGACGAAAGTGCTGTGCTGGTCTGTACATGACTACTTTTCACACAGCAAAATCCCTTTTCTTCCTGTCCCACTACAGATGAATCCCCCACATTCATTCGATACTGCTCTTGAACAGACTTTTGTTTCTCCAAATAATTTGAATAGCGGAAAAAAAAGTGATCTTTTTTCATACTTGTTTGTGAATACCATCACCAAACTTCTATCTGTCATTGCGATAGTATGACTTACCATTTATTAACTTGTAATATAATACCCTGCTATTGTGAGAGAGTGAAAATGTATACATTCATCTCCTCAATTCCTTACTATCCTGAAAATAGTCATGGAAAAAACACCATCTTGTGTTCAAGGAATGAATGAATTCAAGAATCCTGAAAGAGAATGCTGATGTTTCCTGAGAGGTGATTTAACCCTGCATTTCACAGTGACTCAGTATAAACTCTTTCTTATGCAGTGTCATAAACCTTTGGTTCTCTCAGGGAGACTAAGGGTCTTTAGCCTTTGGTATGAAATAACAGGCATATGCTTCCATTTATAAATCATTCATCAATTCAAATTCAGATTTGTGGAAGATGACAGAACCAGATTAAATCACCCAGACAACTAAAGGTATTTAATATTGTATCAGGGTGGCACAGTGATGCAGGGGTTAGTATTGTTGCCTTGCGGCACCAAAGACCTGGTGTTCAATTCCAAACCTGGAATTGTTTGTATGGGTTTTCCTCCTGGTGCTCCAAGTCTAAAAACACGCTGTTAAATTAATTGGATTCTGGAAAAAATTGGCCGTGGTGCGAGTGTGCGTGTCTGTGTCTGTCCTGTGACACACTGGTGTCCCATCTACGATGTATCCCACCTTGTGCACATTGCTTGCCAGGATAAGTCCTCCTCCCCCGCGACCCCTCATTGGAAGAGGTTTAGGAATGGATATTAATTACATATTAAGAGATTTATATGATACCTGTAACATGTCTGCCCTGAAATGATTTTGTTTCATTTTGGAACGTTGACCTGGTAAAGACCTCTTACTAAATATGAAGACATTTCACTTTATTTTTGAGCAGATGCCTCTTGCCTGCAGTCCCTTACACTTAGTACACAACACAGACGTGAGCAATGTCCCTTCCACCAAAAAACAGTTCATTAGGAAAACATTAGAAAACATTAGGAAAAAACTAATACGAGTGTAATCTCTTTGTGCCATAAATATATACAACCCCTGAATCTTGGAGAATGGTAAGGCCTCAGATATTCATTAATAAAACAGGAGGTCTGCTGAATACATCCTATTTGAACATGCGGTTTCAACTACATTATTTTCTTTAAGAAGAAGCATTTATTATGGGACCCAAGTGCATCCAATGTTTTAACTTAGACGTTCTGTGTACAGGCACACACATACAGTTTGATATACTGCTAGATTTACTGACCCTTTTGATTTTGTAGCAATCCCAACGTTTGTAATCTTCAGACCCACTCCTGCAAAAATGAAGAAAAGGTTGTCTCATCAATTATTACAACAGACTAAGGGTTACAGTGACCCATGGAGGAATTAGCCCTGAATCTATCATTAGCAGTAAAATGAAATAATAATTATTTTTATGTAGTGACTTATACCATATGCCTGCTTGTTCAGTATTATACATTTAGCTCTGTTCACCAAAATCCTATTGTCACTTATGCAAGCTAACTGCTCTGCTGGTGTCTTCACATACCTATAGAGAGGAAGTTTGAGCTCATGACTAATCTTAGCTAATATGCTATTTGCATGTATAGTACATACATTTTCCAGGTATGATTTCTCAGCATCTGTAATGTACAGTTTCGCTGGTATCTCCTCTCACCTTCCAAGTCCGTGATCAGTAAGTTCCCGTTAGTCCACTGGTAGATCCAGTGCTGGAAAGCAGAGCATTTCTGCTCCACCTCCGAGACACTCCTCAGGATGAGACGCCCCGCCTCATCCCTCATGCAGTACTTCCCGAAGCAGCCTCTCAAATCCGCCTCCACTGTGGCGTAGGGAACAGTGTTCGCAGGCCGATAGATCAGATGCAGGGGAATAATTCTGTGACCGAATGAGAACGCAGGTGAAGGAGAATCAGATCATAGTGACTGCCAGGCCAGCGCCACTGAGCTATGTAAACCGCAACATAATCGTGTTCTAAGAATCAATAGCTGCTGCTTATCAGCTATGTCAGCATTGAAGGAGTGGTACATTTTGAGAATACTGTACCGAGATGAAAAGCATCGAGTTTAAACGAAAAAAAAAAGCGGTCAAGCCACTGTCCGTACGGCAAAATTGAAAACTTTTGCCTGGGTGGCAAGACGGTGTTGTTTGAGAGGAGACTGTTCCCGCCTCCAGTTTAAATGAAGAAGGAGTGTTTTCCTTGGGTTTAAAAATGTTTATGTCACTTACTCCAGTGCTGGGCCGAAGTTTTCAATCACCCTTGTCTCGGCAGCAAAGATCTTGCAGTACTCACGGGCAGTGTTTTGTATTTTACATTCCTGTAAGATAAGGGAGTAACGTTCATCCATGTTCTGTGGAAGACTACAGAAACAGGAAAGCAGACACTGCCATCTGTATATTACCACATGTTCTTATCTGTGGCTGTTGAAAACTACAGTTCGTTCTTGTTTAATTCTGCTATCACACATTGTTTTCATCTTTTTTTCAGTTTATATACCAACAAAGAGATAGGATTTATAAAATAAAGATTGAATTTTTAAAAAACATGGATTTTTTTTTTATTATTGTACTAACACAATACTATATTAACTACATTTATTTGGCAAAATATTTGTTTTGAAAAGCTTAAATGTGTAAATATTCCTTGATGATGGGCCACCACAATATGTGCTTATTGTAATACGATTTTGATATACTGTAAAGCAAGTAAGGGAAATCCCCTTGTTCACAGATTATGTGTGAGTGGTCTATAGCTAAATACAGTACAGTCTTACCCCCACATAAAACCCATTGCATCTTATATCCCAACAGATGACTGGGTTTCTCTTGAACAGCTGCCAATGAGTAATATCCAAGTAGCTAGTTTCTTGTTATGAATAGGATTAAACAAGACACTCTTAGGAAATAAACCATGAGCTGTTTGAATATGAAGCTGATAATGTGGTATCACATTGTGTTTATATTAGAACTTTATGTGGGGGACAGGGTATTTACACAATCAGAAGGGAATGTTTAATTCATTAAATTGAAAACAAATTGTCTGATTGAAGCCTGTAATCTTCTTAATATGCAAATAGCAGAGCAATGGGAATATTTGACCATCTAGAGAACACCTACAGTCACCACGGGCATCACCGATAAGACTAAATATCAATTCGTTTTTATAAGCCCTGAAAAAATGCACAAGATTTTTCAAGTCTGCCAAAAAACCTCTGTTTAAGTTGTCCAAATTTTAACAAAGCGTCTAACTTCAGACTGAAATTCTTTTTGAATAGTCTTTTCAGGGTCTAACAATCAAGGCCGAAACTGATCACTAAGGCCAACAAGAAGAGCTTGTGTTGGTGGGGGGGTTGGTGGGGGTGAGGCTGCCTCTCTCACCTGCTTCGTAAACTCGTGGTTTTTCTCGATGAGGTCGTTCTCCTGCTTGGTCCCATATGCAATGGGGTTTCGGACTTTAATGATGCAGGTGCTGCCCGACTCGAATATGGGGTCTAGTCCATAGATGACCTTCACCCTGCTGGCTTTGTGCGTCAGCCCTTCCCCGAGGTGCACCTCCTCCGTCATGATCCGCCCAAAGAACTTGTCCCCCCAGTGCCCTGACTCTGCCAGGCCCTTAGTAAACAGCATCGGAGTCATCTCGATCTCCTCCCCCACTACGCCACATGAAAAGAGAAGGGGAGTTCAGTTCTCATTCAAAGGAACTTCATTTTCAGAAGCAGGCAAGTGTCTGAGGTTGCATCCTGCCACCCGAGCTCAATGCACGCAAGTGGTTAGACGTCTTCTTAGCATGAGCAGTTCTGCACATGGCAATAATTGCAAGTGCTCCTACCATTAGCATCTACAGGCGCAGTGATCAAGGAGTAACTTTCATATTGCACGGTTTGTGCTTGTTACCACACCTTCAGGCGAAGGCATCTTCACAGGCACTGGCTGAAAATGTCCTGCTTCAGATTCTTGAAGAGGATACTGCTTGCACTGTGAGCCTTGAACTCTAGACTTCTGCTTTTTGGGTAATCTGCATTTTGAACTTATAAATCTGAGCAATATTATCTCTCTAACCACACCGCTTTTTAATGACACAAAATGCTGCAATCAGTCAGCTCCCCCTAAAACAAATATATGCTGTTGGCTCTTTTTTTGCGGCTTGTTTGTTTTGCGTATTGTAGTAAAACTGTTTTTTTTTTGCTCACCTTCTACATCTTCTCGCAAAAGGAAACCCGACAGCACTGGAAACCAGGAAGAAAGGGCAAAATAATTAACTCAAAGATTTGCAAAATTCAAAATGAACAAGTGATTTAAAAAACAAAACTACAAAATTACAAAAATAAAACATAATTTCACATGAAATGTGAAGGCTTCAGAGTCTACCAAGCAAAAGTTAACAGGTTTATTACATTTTGATTCATATCCCACACAAAATTATCTGCAGTCACAAAGCCTACCCTTAGAAGCTAGAACATTTCTGGTACTTGTTTCAGGTTATACTGTTCCATGTCATATCCCCTCTGCACATACCCTCTACATACCCTCTGCACTCAGTAAGAAATCTGTGGAATCAGCTCCGTATTCATTCTTTATAGAGCATCCGTAAACACCACAGTCCTTACTGGACACCTGGACAATGGCGAGCGCTACTTGACCTTCGTCACCTGAGCTGAAATACAAATCCAGAGCACGTATTGCACTTATTATCAGATGAATTGCCCGAACGTTCACACAGTGTTCTAAGAAATTCATAAACAGTTTTAGGTGAGCAGTTTCTTGTACACAGTGCATCAAGTTTTTCAAGAGCGCGTTAGCTTGAGAGAAGCTGTATGATTCTTTAACTTGAGAGAAGCTTGTGTGATTACATAGTATTTGTATACGCTTACACCCCCATTTAAAGGTAGCTATTTCAGAATCAGTACAGGTAAAAATCAAGGACAGGGGAGCTGCAATTAAATTGCGGACTGCAGAATAATTCTGTATATGGGATTACACAGTACACAGCAGGGCTGCAGGCATATAATGACTGCTGTGTCAGCAGTAGATAATAAGGGCCACCTCCCACATGGAATGTGCTTTGGGATCCTTTGGGATGGACAGCATTGTGTCAATTCCAGGAATGAATTATTAATTAATTCGGTAACCTCCAGCCGAAAGCTGGTGTTACTACAGGGGATGTTCTGGTATGGGCACTGCAATGAGCTCAGAACAAGCTAGTAAATATCCCTCTCCTTCCTGTAACAGAGCAGACTCCCTGGCAGTGGCTCAGGAGGCTGTGCAGGGAGGACAGATGTGTTAAGGCTGGCAATGTGAGCTTTGGGAGCACATAATCCCCGTACAGTGACATGACACCGGATTGAAACAGTTTGCTCCAGATTTTGAATCCCCCCCGGAACAGTTTTCATGCACATGCATGTTAGACGTTCATTCGGCCACCAGGGGGGTCCCTACTTTTCACTTCCAGAGAGGTTTGGCTGACGCTGCAAGGCTGCCCTGGCGGAACAGATATAGATTTACTGACCCAGGAGCGCTCGCGTATGAACATGCTGATGAGGAAATCAAGTCGACTCGGCTTACAGCACCGCGGTCCCCCAGTAGCCTTACTGTACGGGTCATGGCCCGTCTGTGTCACAGCTGTGGGCTTTATTATTACACAGCTGCCATCTCTGCAGTGCAAATCACTGAGGGGACGGCTGCCGATTAGGAAACAAAGTGTTTCAATTACACTGAGAAAGAATTCGCAGTCCTGGGAACTACAATGCTGTATCAGACTTTAAAAACTATTGTACACCTCTATTCCTTATCCACTGTCCTAACACCATTGTTCTAAGGAACTGTCTGTCTAAATATTAGATTTTTAAACAAATGCCACAGATCAATATTTTTGTGTCTATTATTCCTCTTCATTTAATGAAGAACAGACATAGAAATGATGTGAATCATCCACATCTGGCAGTGTGGCCCTGTGAATTGTATAGGTTTTTGTAGAAACATGTCATGTGGAAGGCTGATACATGGCCTCAGAGTTAGTGGTTAAGAACTGGACAATTATCACTGATTTAGTCTTTCTGAAGGACAGAGAACTCAGTGTCCCTTCAAGGTTCAACTGTAGACATGTTCTTATAAGTGTAGGTCAGCTCGCAGAGTATGATCTGAAACGCATGTTGAAACCACACAGAGACATGTGGTTTGGGGGGAATCACAGAAGTGTTGCGTGTCAGCTCACCTTTGCATGAACTACTGTATCTAAAGCGAAAGTGCAGTGTTACTATTTACGCAACAGATCTTTGTTATGACAAATGATAATTGTTTTCTCTGTGATTTAGCAGGTCGCCTCCACAGTGAGTTCTTGATGGGTGGTTGTTTAACACGAAAGTCATCATATTATTACTCTACTTTTATTACCGTACAGGTTTCTGTTTCCCCTGGGGATTGTTTCGAATCCTTCTCAGATGCAACATTTTCTTATTACAGGTGGCTGTTTAACTGAAGGCTTGGGCTCTGGGATGTAAAATAGTGAACACTTGGTGATCTACCTCCTTCTCACTTCTGCAATTTCCACTTCATCTCTGGACCACTTAATAGTGGAGTCGCTGAGCACGTTGAAGAACTGACACCAGAGTTTCAGGTGACCAGATGCATCCGAGAAGGGCTCTGCCCGGATCTTCCGGATAACCTGAGGAGCTGAGCAGAGAAAGAGTGGGCAAAGTCAGCTGGTTATAGTCAGGATCAGGTGATGCAATATGTGTGCTTTCTAAGATGCATGCCATTTCCTCTTTCCATCTCTTCCTACGCTGTTACTAACGTATTTTCATAGCCTTCATGTTATGCCTACAACGTTCGTTTAGCAAAGACAATTCAAGAGTACATCACCATTTTTAATGAATATGAATTAAAACATGAAACAGATGGAAATGACTACTGAATATTTAAATAGAATACCTCTCAAATATTTATATACATTTCTAAATAGAAAACGACGTGATTCATGCCCTGTAATTAAATAAAGAACACAAAAAATTACAAATGAGAGGACACCATTCTAGCCTGTTTTGTAGTCTTCACTTTGTTCTATTTTATGATCGTTTTGCATCCTTTGGTCCCATCGGCCTAATCAGAACTGAAGCAGAGACCGATTCAAATGTTTATGAGGATATTTCAGCGAACAGCTAGTGCCTCCTGTCAAATAACTCAAGCTTCACCACACGTAGACTTTACAGTTGGATAACAAAGCAATTCGAATGCAGTGACCAAATGGGTAATACAGTATCAAAATCAATGTTCTTGATTGGTTATCACAGTCCCCAGTGAAACATTTATGGTATGAACTGAAGAAAGCAGATCGCAAGTGCAGACTTCACAACCTGGAGTGTCTGGAGAGATTGGACTTGGGGGAGTATTCAAATATCTCTCTTAGGAGGAGCATAGGAACCTTCTGCAGACCTACAGGAAGCACTTCCTTGAGGTTATCAAAGCCTACTTTTCTGATTGATTAATTTTTCGGATTTTCTGATCCTATGTTTTATGATTGGCTGGATCATAATCACCATGGGTCATTTTTATGCTAAATTAACAGCTCTTTGAGGCAAGAGTAAACGTGCAGGCTACAGCATGTTTAATAATAGAACTTCCTCTGTTCTGTTATGTAAAATTGCTTAGAATGAACTTTTGAAATGATGCAGTACTTTCCATTGCTAACACCTCTACCTCCCACCTCTGAAACGTGTAACACAATAAGCTGCAGGACGGCTGGGGAGTACGATTTAGAGTTTTAAGACAAGATTAACTCCTACACTTCTCAGATACAGCATGCGTTGCATAGTTACAGGTATCACCAGGCACCTCGCCATACTTCGTGTCAGGATTTCTGAAAGGGGTGAGTTGTTGGACCCCTGTGCAAAGCCATGAGCACGGTCGCTGGAGCAAAAGTAAATCCAAGTTGTTAGGCAAGAGCGAAGTCAAAAGTAGGAGAGCCAGGTCGAGAAGAGAACGCTGCGAAAGACTTCAGTGTGCAGTGAGTGTAGGCAGGCCGGTGAAGAGTGTTTAAATATTGAAGAGAGAGAGATGAGGTTGGGTAACTATTTCCTGGATGAGCATGTGTGGAATTTAGTACGCGTGGGAATGCCAGGGCGCTTACGGGAGAAGGGACGAGTCGTGACACGTTGCAGTTGGTAAAAACTAGCAACAGCAACAGTGCTGTCCTGTACAGAAAACTATGACTATTTTCCACTAGGAAAAAACCTATTGTTATTGCCCCCAAAATGGCTACCACCAGCTTACCTTTGAAGGGGTCTTGCTTCTGTTTCTCTTCAGTTGGGGCATCAGGCTTCGAGTCCTTAGTGGAATCGGTCCTCTCGTCCGTTTCCTCAAATCGTTTGGGCACCTCCAAGGTGGACTTCTTCCTGCTAAGGTTCGGAGAGCATCTCTCCCTGGGAGGCGTCTGGGGTCCGGGGGGGGCCTGCAGGTAGGCGGACTTGCGCGCCTGTCCCGGGGACATGGGCGCCGCATCCTGGTCTTGCGAAAGCCTCCTCCTCTTGGGCACCTCCTCCTTCTTTGCCTGGGCGTCCGGCAGCCCCGCCGCGCCCTCGGCCTCATCGGCTCGGGGCTTTGGAATGAAGATCTTGCGGCGGGCCCCGGAGGCCAGCTCCTCGGGGGTGGCGGAGGGGATGAGCGTCAGGCTGTCGTGGCGTTGCAGTTTGGGGCTGCTTTCGCGGGACGGCCCGGACGGAGGGGGGGTGTCCCGCCCCACCCTGTCACCCTCCTGCGTGTCCGCCAGCGGGGTGCTGTCGACACGGATCGAAGGGACGGCCGTGACCCCGGGAGCCTCTGTGCCCGGCGGGGCCTTCGCTGCGAGCCGTCGGGCGGCGGCTGGGCTCGGGGGAGGCGTGCTGGTGATCGAAAGGCAGACTATGTCAGCGACGGGTCTGTCATTTTGGAGTTTTTCGGCAGGGGGGGCTGAAATTTCGCCAGCGACTTCTGCGTTTTTTTCTCTGTCTTGTTCCATTACAGCAACATGTGGAGGATGGCTTGGTGATACACGCTGCTCTTTCTCATCTTCCAGAGCTGTTGTTCGAAGATGGGGAACCGTTGAAAGCTGGTTTAGGGTTTCTAAAGACAGATTGTTTGCAACCGCGGGGATCTCTAACGATACACCTGTGGCGTTTCCCTTGGTGCTTGCCTCAGCAGGGAGGGAGTCTTTTTTAATGTTCTCGTTTTCTCTTTCCAAAGATGACACTCCAGCGCTTTTCGCAGTGTCAAGGTCTTTCTTGACATCCCGGAGGAGAGAGGATAGAGATTCGTCGTCCTTTGCAATAGGCTGGTCTTCTCCCGAGACTGAAGATTCAGGTGTAGGAATATTGTCCATGCACATGATTGAAACATGGGGAATCATAAAAGCAGGTGCTTCTTGTTTTGTTTGGGAAGCAGATTCATCTGATCTTGGGGGCGTTAGATTCATAGCTCTAGGATCTGGCTTATGAAGCTCAATGTTATCTTCATGGTTTATAACTATACCTGGGAGAAGACTATTGCCCATGTCTGTTCCCAGCTCTGAATTCTCTTTACCTCTTTCTTGTTCTTGCTCTGAAATCTTGCCTTTTTGATCTGATTGAGTGAGACTATGATCCATCCTGACATTTTCACTGTGGGGAGCTGCAGCTGGAATCTCTGGCATTCTCTCAGCATTACTGGATGTGATAATCATCTGGGAAGCAGGCCTGATGTGTTTCAGCAGACTTGGCAGCTCAGGAATAGTTGTGTTATCTGCTTCAGCTGTCTGTATTTTGGGAGCACTTTCGGTTTGTGAGCCCAAGAATTCTTCCTGTGAAATACCATGTGTTGCTTCTTCTAGCTTTGGAGCACCTGAAACGTTTAATTTTGTAACAAATAAATGGGTTTCTGGAACGGAGTGATATTCTTGTTCTTTGTCGACAAGATTCTTTCCATTGTCCTCAACTATGTTCCCTGGGACTGCTTTGTTGTCCTTCTCAGCATTGTCTTCTACTGTGGGAACAGTGATAGGCTGGGTTACCAAGACTTTATATGCAGATGTATCATTCTGTTCAATCTTTTCCATTTTTCCTGCTGTTTCAGTTGGGTGTGAACTGTCAATGTTGACGATAGTTGAAATTCCTGTACATCCGGAAATGTCATCTTCAGTCACAGGCTCTGTATGTCCCTCATTTAATTCCTTGGTAGGGGACTGTGTGCTCTTTCTCAATTCATTTGTAATAGATTCTCCATAGCTCTGCAAACTAAAGGATTCAATCGGCCCAGCTCTGACATTCTCCAGACCTTCTGTGACGGAAATCTGAGGTGGCATTTGTACTGTCAGTTTATGGGATATGTTATCCTCTTCCTTGACACCAGGTGTTTCATTCATTTCTGTCTGTATCTGGCCTTTCTCATCCTTGAACGAAAAACAAACAGAAGCTTTTAATTATACTACATATGTCATGCACACAAAGAAATGTCATTTTTAATTATTAATATTCATGATGCAACAACACTGGAGTATTGCTGCCTGTTACAAAAAGCTAAAATAATTGTTTGCAATAGTATTACATCATCTCACAGGATAGCACAGGTAATAAGCAGGAAACATGAAGTGTCTCTCATTATACTTCACAAATATTTAACTGGTTATGAGACATACCAAAGATATTTTATGGTCGACGTATCTAGACATTTTGTCCCTTTAACTATCCCTTGTAACTATGATGTTATAGATATGTCCTAACTGTGCTGTCTCTAAGACCCAAGACTGTTGATACAAATAGTGATTTTCAGCAGCACAAGTTCTCCTTAATACAAATGTACATAACACAAGGTGTTCAGTATTTTGGCCTATGACAACATGGAATTTCCTGTAGCCGCAAGAAAACAAAGACATATGGGAAATTCAAGAAGTGCAATGAAGAATGAAAAACAAGGCACTTCTTTATGTAAAGTGTCACAGGAATGGAACTACCCAGCCGTGCAGTTTAATAGGACTCCTTAGGATTGTTCAAGAAATAAAGCAATAGCTTACTGTAGCAGTTGTGAAATTCATTATGATCACATGTACAGTAAAAGGCAGGAAACCGTGAAAGATACCTGTACTTGACAGACTTGTTATGTAACCAAGCTTTAGAATGTGAAAAATGTAGCTTCAAGCTAATATTTAATCTGTGTACTTGATGGAAAAAAAAATACTAGTTTCATATTTCATATTTATAATCCATCTAGAAGATTATGCATGCTCCCAGTACTGTACATTTGATACTACAAGATGAGACAGGTGAATTGCAGTCTGGACTTAATATGAGCAGAAGAGCAAAGTTCAGTTAAACTAGAAACAGTAACTTTCACAATGAATAAGTACACAAAAAACAAACATCTGAATCTTCTGTAAAAGTGCTGTAGGTCAACTTTCAGTGCTTACAATTAAGTACAAATAAAATAAACATTGTCTGAACTGATTTTATCGCCAAAGACACTGTTTAACATCTGTGATTTATTTCCTTTTTTCCTGTTGGATTCCAACCTGCTCATTTGCATTGATCCAGTTGTGCTCAGTGATTTTTCAGACTGTTCATTTCAGTACTTAAAGATGATCAGGGTTTTGGCCATAGCATACCAGATGAGGTAGATGGGAGCTAACAGGAAAAGATATCAAGAAGTTAGATCTATATATAGCAGCGTGACTCTCTTTTTCCATCTCAGCCTCTTGCATGAAGTACTCATCAGCTAGCCATATTTATTGTTGACTGCTTTCATCTTTTTTGGAGCCCTCCTGGTGTAAGACCAGCTGTTTGATGAGTCTCTGCGATCTTGCTCTCAGATGCCACTGTAAAGTATCTATCCGTCAAATACATATCTCAAATGTGCCCCCTTGTCAGTAGGAGATTTCCCTTCAAATACACACACAAATAACGTCTCTCCTGGCCTAGAGTTTACTATGATGTACTGTTTGAAAAAATAAGCTGGCAAGGAAATAGATTTGTCTGGCTCACATACTGATCAACTGATTGTACAAGTGAGTTAGCTGCTTAGAAGATGTGTGTGCATAGCTTTCTAGCCCACATAAAACTATTTTTACGAGGGGACCTTCCCATTTCTGGTCAATGAGGTTGTAAAAACAGAGTTCTAGGATGGGGCAAGAGACAGCAAAATGTTCCTAAAAAATTAGACACATTATGAAATGCGTTGGTAGTATGTATTCTACCCATGTTTGGAACAGCTGTGACAGTGGCATAAGTTGGTTGCAAGAACCTGTTGTAAAACAGCCAGCTGATGATGAAGTGCTTCTCCTCTGTCATGCGTGACTATATAATATCTGCAACACAGTTTAAAATAGAAACAGCATTTCGTATGTGTTCTGATGTCACAGAGCATGCTCTATTACAGCATTTAGTCCTGTTTGGTCCACAACACTGATCATGATGCTATTTTGAAAGAGTTTGTTTCTACAATAATAAAAAGTTAAACCTAAAAACAAAACTAGGAAAATCAATAACTAAAAATGAAACTTTCTATCTGAGAAAACCTAAGCTGTTGAACTCTATCAGATCATTGCTTATATCTTTTAAGGCAAAATGTTTCTGCTAGTTTTCTACCCCTTTTAGAGAAAAAGCATATGAGATCAAATTATTTCCTTCATTATACAGTTGCAAGAATGTGGCTGATGAGACAAAATGAGAACCAGCACTCTGAAATGATGTTGATACAGGACAAGGCAGCAGTGAAATAAGCAGCAGTACATGAGTGATTTCGCTTTGGAGCACAGGCTATTTCTCTCGGCTTCAGAAGATGCCTGTCTAAAAACATAATGAGAAAAATACAATAGCTAATTGTATGAACAAGTGTTCAGGTCTAATTTCTTGGGACTCCGAGCAAGTGCTCTAAAGCTTGCTATACAAATCTGTTCTTCAAAAACGCTGGGAGCTGTGACTCCATCCTGCCCAGCCCACGTTAAGCTAAAAGAAGTTTATTTTCAGTATATGACCTGCTGTTTGAAAAATGCTACTCTTTGGGTTTTGATATTGTAAAAGGAAAGGGCTACTTGATCTGGAAATAACTCATCCGTCTTATTCCACAGAATTAACAAAAACTAGAACGGTAAACACATGCCTGATTAAATCTTTGATTTCCTTATACTCTGTTACCACAAAAGCTCAGATTAATAGCTCCCTGCATGAAAAATCAGTTGCAGTTCCATATTAAAGTGAAACACCACAGAATGTTGCTAACCAGGTGCTGAATTCTCAGAATCCTTTTTTTAAGAACAGATACTACAGTTTAATGCAATACAGTATAGATACAGTGTGTAGAAACAATATAATTATAACTTTTTATATCTCACGTGTTGGGACAATTTTTGTCCTGGCCAGCCAGAGTAAAGAAAGTCTTGTGAAACAGCCTTGATTCACTTTTTATACAGACTTGCAGCAAACGCAGTCTCTTCAATTAATTTAGCAGGTAATTTGTTAAATTCACTAAAGAGAGGGTCCTCCGTAAGCTCTGAAAGTTCTGGTAAGCTTCATTTTGTATTCTAAAGGGTATCTTAATTGCTACATTTAACTAACAACCTGATTAAGGCATAGGTAAATGTTCCCTATCTTTACAGATGGGAAAATTAAGTGTGACCTTTATAACCTGCTTTACTGAGGCTCTAACTCATTTGGTATACATGAATATTGGTACATACTATATATTTACTCTGTGTACTGGATGGGAGCTCTTTCCTGTCAGATGTCTCTTTCCTATAATTTCATCTTTATTGTAAAGCTGGATATGAAATTTTCTTTTAGGATGTTTTAGGCTATGACCTCAAAATTGTTTCAGTGGAGTAATTTAGAAGACACCCCCCCATAACACGGACGATGCTGCAAGCATTTGGTAGCTAGATGACCACTAAAATCTCATTTCTTGATCTTGTAATTGATGTTTGTTTCATTCTAATTGATTGCTATTGCACATCTTTATTATGAATTTCACAAGGGATCACCGATACTTTAAAAGGTCACAAAGCGAGAAATTAATTGGTTGCACTTTCATTTAAATGCTTCCCCCCAACACAGTCCTCTGACTTTGAACATTACCGTCTTTCAGGTGTGCACATTTTTGCCTGTAATTGATTATTTGAAAGATACCCAATAGGCTTAGAGCCAGGTTCTAAAGAAAGTACTCATTGTATAGCGAAGAGCAGAACAGTGTGTGGAAAGGGTTTATTTTAAGACCCACAGGAGAGAGAAGAATTTGGAAAATGTGAAGAGGTCCTGCTATGCTTCTTAAGGACCTTACTGAGCTTGGACTAAATTCTCTTGCCCCTGATATCCTTACTCCCTTTTGTCAGAACGTGATGACTTGGGGTATTTCTGAACACACAAAACAGGTTCTCGAGATCCTTGATCTCGATATGCCATCTGGTCACATGCTATCGTGCTCTTAACAAATCCACAAGGATGGGTGAAGATGATTTACTACCGTGAACAACTGAAACATCTGTGAGGCTGACAGGCTGTGACACTTTCATTTCCTTGGGAAAAATAATCGGTTTTGTTTCCTCTTTGCTTTTGTTATCATTTCACAAAATAAGAAACCTTGGTGTCTGTCAATACGTCACCTCAGGTTTCACTTCAACAACTATCTTCATTCTAAAAAAACCTCAGGCTTGTGAACACAAGGGCATTAGAACAGTTTCAAAAGAAGGGAGATCGGTGAACCCATCTAACTCTAGGAGCTAATTCATCCTGGAGTGAAGGACCTCCGTCAGATATTTCTTGAAAGAAGCCAGGGTTCCAGTTTCAGCAACATGGCTGGGTAGTTTCTCCCAGGCTCCCACAGCCCTTTGTATTATGTGCTGTGTCGCGTTGTCAGTTTTAAATTCACTTTCCCTTAGCACTTGTAAACGTCCTCTTGTTTCAAGATAAAGCAAAGAAGGTGCACCCACAGCCTCAAAAAAATCTCAAACAGTTTAAAAAAACAGAACCGGGCCAGCAAAAATAAGCAGGAGCTTTCTCATGCATAAATATTCATTGAAACACTATTTGAAAAAGAATGTAGAAAGCGGATGGGAATGTGTGGATGATTAGTTTGGCTACTGGCTTTTTTATTACAGCTTTTGAACAAAATTACAAAAGAAAACGGGAGAATGGAAGAATTCGTGTGTTTCTAGGGTTGTTACAGAAATCTTCCATGCACCTACCCTTCAAAAGCGGATTGCTTTAAAGTCTGAAAAGGGATGTAATTATCAATGTATTTTTCCAAAATGAAAACATTTATTTTAGTGAAATAAAAGCTGCTTGTTGCATGTTGCTTGGTGATCTGCCTAACAAATGGACAAGGACAGCAAAGAGCTTTGCTAGTTGCAGAGGAGATCATCATAGAAGCTGCAGCTAACCACCTGGGCTCATTCAACAAGTGTTTTTCACTGTGCAGGTTTTTGAGTTTCCTGAATGATCCTCAGTCGATTAAGCGCACTACCTGAAAGAGCCTGGAAAACCTCTGAATCCTATTCCAACGGCTCGTACCTTGAACTTCCGCTAGTGGGTGATGGCATTGCTTTTATTTCCTCTCAGAAAATGGAAGCCTTTTAACAAAGAGGGAGTAGGTGTTGGAGCTGCCAGAGCAGGCTGTCCTTATGCTCAAGACCTACCACACAAATGCATACAGATACTGTCCATAAATAGCACTCAAGTGCCTGTTGCATTACTCCATGAGCTGACACTGTGACAAAGCCCACCACACACCTCAGCACTGATACCAGGCTCTTACCTCACAAGGCAGGGATGTTGACACTTGAACATCGGTTTGCCCATTCAAACGGTGATTCAAAACGGTCTCCTCCTCCCACGACGTCTCCATTTCCTGATCTGTGCGATTCGCGTTATGTGCAGCGGTAACTGATGCATCTGTCTTCATGGATTCTTCCGCAGGAGCATTTCCTTGAGGCTCAGGTTCTTCTTGAGCTGGTAATTTGATGTCCATGTGTAAGGTCTCAGCAAGTGGCTTATCACCAGATTCTGACAGTACTGCGCACACAGTGGGGGGTTTGTATTCCTCTAGCGCTGGAGGATTCATTTCCGACGGAACGCTAGGTGTAGCTAAACCAAGCTCATCAGGTTTCTCATCCACAGATGTCAGACTGCTGGACCGCAGCATCTCTGGGCCGCCTCTTGCTTCGTCGCTGTTCTCGTTCTTGCTGCCAAAAAAAATGTCTTTCAGAGAGAAATATACTGGACTGACTGGGGGTTGGGTGTTAGGGGGCTCTGGCTCCTTGTATACACCTGTTCCTGCATGTTCTTTCACTTCTGAAGTGTCGCTGCTCTCCACAGTCTCTTTTGCCCTTTCTGATTCTGGGCTTGCCCAACCGTTGTCTGCCTCCATCGCCATGAAATCTTCTGGTGGCAAAGACTTCATGTTCTCCTCCAGCGCCTGCGACCGCAAGGAGTCCGATAAGTATTGTGCCAAACTAATTCCTCCTTCGCTTGCCTCGTGTTCGCCACGGGCCCCCCACACTGCCTCATCACGACGTTCCCCCACATCCACTCCATTAGAGATCTTTTTCTTCTTTTTGGCGAGGAATTCTTTATCGGGCGGCCTGGTGGTAATTATCTCCACCGTCTCATAGATGTAGGCAAGGAACTCGTTGCCATTCTCTTCTGCCCCTTCCTTGGGTGAGTCAGTCCCTTTGGAACCCGCCAAGAAACCGTTGGGCAGCTCCTGCGCGGTGGCCGCCTGATCCTTCCCGCCCGGAGTGCCGTCTTGTAGCCTGAACTCTGCCGCCTCCTGAGCGGGCCCTTTCACCTCGTCCTCTCTTCCCTGCAGGGAGGACGGTGACCTGCTCCTAGCTTCGCCAGGCAGCCGGCGTTTCCGCTGCGCCCTGTCGGGACTCGCTGTTCGCAGCTGGTCCACACGCTCTTGGAAGGCCTCCTGGCCCCTGCCCTTCTTGCGGCTCTCCTCCAGCTCTTTCTTTTTGACCGCAGCCTTCTGCTTGAGTTTCTGAAACCACCTCTGGTGGATTTTGTATTCGTTCATGGTGCCGACCTCCAGGACCCCAGAACAGGACACGATGCCCTTGCTGTTCCTTGCTGAGGCCTGATAGATGGCAGCATCATCTTCGGTGCAGCTGTGAAGGGGAATAGTTAACAGTGGTTATCATTTAGAGGAACCACACTAACTTCTTCATCAGTTGCCTTTATCCAAGGCGAATAAAAGCATATTATGATCTGGAAACTTCCCCTGGAAAACGTTCCTGATGCTTTGGTGAAAGCTCAGGTGTGGGCATTCGACTCCCAATCTGAAGCAAGGATAAATTGAATTTGCCTGAAAAGCACATCCTCAAACACCCCCATGCTCAACAGCTTTTCAAGCCAAATTTGTAACATTAAGATTTCCCATTTTAAAGAAACAATGAGAAAGACAACACGCTTCAATACACAAGTGCAGTTTTTGAATAAAAGCAGAGCTTGGATGCATTTTGAGCCTGTATGCTGAGTATGTACTTGTAAATGTGGAGAGTGTGAACTTTCCCATTGTGGAAAATTTCATATTTGGGCAGGCCACAGTATCGGTCCATCTCCGCGTCATCTTTATACCAGGTCAGCTGAGGCTCTGGATAGCCTGGAAAGAAAACATGGTATAGAATAGAAGTCAAGCTTATAAATGAGAATTTATTGTATTGAATTATATCCTATTTCTTCCTTTTTAAGAAAATGGAAAATGGAAGCAAAAATTAAATTATTTAAAATCTTCAAAGTTGTCAAATTTAAGGTTTTGAGCCATGAGCCACTGAACAATTCTTATCCCCTGGATATATGATAACAGCAGTTGCTTATAAGCCTCAAATAATCTAATGATTGCCCAGTTTTTACTTGCAAGATTAACCATAACTGTAATGATAGATGTAAAGGCAAAGTTTTCCATTTGGAAAAGTAGCTAACTTGATGATTAATCTCACTGTCACCCAGACATCTCAGTATACCCTATGTGGGTTTCATTTCAGAAAATTTCAACTTAACTGCCAGATGAAATCATAGTTTATGAATTCATTCTGTTATTCAACTGCCCTACTCTTAACTTTAAAACCTCAGCTGTTTCAAAGGGATTAAGGCTAAACGCCTTTTATCACATGAATGGCTCTTACATTTCATTGAAAGGCGCTAATAAAATTAAACATGATTTTTGGGTTATTCATGTTTCTTAGCAAATAATAGTTCATCTTATTTATAATATGAATTAACACACATTCATTTCAATGCTGACAGCATGAGCAGAATATTTGTAAAATGATATGGCAGGACACAAAAATCAAAAGAACATTTCATACATTCAAGTTTTTTTTCTTTGGCAAATTTCTTAATTCTTAATTTCTTAATCTACTCTTAACTGTGCTCAAATGGATATGGCATTTAAACACAGACATAAAATATTAATACACAATTCCAGACAATCATATAAACTAGATTCAAATTCCAAGGAATGCTAGCAGTTAGAAAGATCAAGAGAATTATTTATTAATGCAGCAGTTTAGGTCAGATATAAACTTACGTTGGATTTTAAAAAAATCAGTGTTTCATTAATATCCTGTAATATAGCGTTTACAAATTTTTTACAACCAATGACCAGATGGTAACGACACATTATCTGATTTTTTTTATTAAAACAAAATATAATTGACAGTTTTACGAACGTCTGGATGTTTTAAGACGTAATTTTCAAGCCCTAGATTACTATCTAAATATTTTAAATCAATAAAATTCATACCTGCTTCCTGAACTGAACAAACATCCACTTTTAATTATGGGCCATACAGTGTGTTACAGTCAACTTGCATAATGGATGGTGATAACAGAGTAAAAAGCTCCAAAATGAAACATGGTGCTGTCGTTAATTCTTGACAACAGCAAATCCCTTTTATGTGTTTGTAAATTTTCTTCAGTTTCCCATTAACTTAATACTTGATAGCACTCCAAATTGTCTTGTAAAGTTTTGTTTCAGTCAACCTGACACACCAGTCTCAATTAGTGAATTTAATAATCACATATTAACTCATTAACAACAATAGCAGGTCAAACGTCTAGGTAAGTAATTGACAAACATATATTTATACCTTATAATACAAAATCTACAGTATGTGACCCAACCAATTGGGTATAATATATTTAATAGGAAACTTTGGAGTCTCGGAGATACTGCTTTAACAATAAAAGCATGGAATACCAAATAAGAGATGTCTTCCATCCATTGTTTATTTCATAAGACATATATACATTTTAGAAAATAAAACACCAACAAAAACACCAATTATAATAATCTGCCATGGTTCTGGTGTCACTGGTGCCAGGGCAGTGAATTAATCTAAATGACGGCGAAATTACCAAGCACACACAGTACAGTGGCTAAACAAACCAGGCACAACCAACCCGGGCACTTCTATCCCACTATTATACCAAGCGTTTCTTCCATTAATTCCATAATTAGTTTAGCCTTCTTCTGCAGCAGGCTCAATTAAAGAATCAAATTTCTCCTGCACCAGAATGAAAGTGCCTGTGTAACCTCCTTCTAAATCAACACAAACAGTACTGTAGAACTGTGATTGGTCAGTCCCCTGGTGAACAGAAGATATTGTCTGCAATACAGCTAATCTCACTAAATAATGCCAAGACGCTTAAAAAGGCAGCAGAGAGGGAACTCAGTCATTAATTTAATACAAAAATATGTTCACTGTCAAACTTTTAGTAGGGACAATAAAACACCTGCTTGTCTGGGGCTGAGAGGTAAAGTTTCTGTAACAGACTAGAGCAGCCAAAGGTTTGTGAAGTGTTAAAAATGTAATCTTTTACCCATCAGGGTACAAACTGCCTAAAGAGTTCAATATGTGGCAACATCTCAGTATTGTGGTGCTACAACAATAATGAATTCTGACAAAGACCTGGTAATATACAGTATCTCTAAAGCCTGCATAAACTAAATAATTTAATGTCATGAATTTAATATCTTTTGGGGGAAAATAATAAAACTTCACTTGCTTATTTAAATCTAAAACATGGCCCCAGACATACAATATTTATCCTTGCACAGTGCTTTTTTATTAATCAGATGTAAACTTTTCTTATTAAAGTTCTATAGCTGGACGATATTAAAATTGAGAATACAGTTCTCAAGTTGTTGTTTCATTCTAACCTCACTTTCTGAATTGCTGTCTTCACCAGTTCTCACCACAAAGCGAACTGTTGTTTGAGTCACAGGGGAGGAAATTCCAGCAGCAAATGCTAGAAGCAGTACAAAGAGAAGAGTGTTTTTTCCAAAGACAGAGGCTTTCCCCTCCGAAGAGCCCAGATACAGTACCTGAGACAGTGCAAGAGAACTTGACGTTACAGTCCTCCGACACTGCCTTGGATTTCAAGGTGGTCTCAAATGTTGGCTGCGTTTCCTCCGTTAGCTGAGCCATTATGCTGCAGAAGGTGCTCCTGCAAAAGACAAAATAGTCCTAGTCATCTGAAAGGCTGTGATCTCAAAGGGAAGACGATGGCTTCCCCTGTTTCCTGACACTTCACCAGCTCAAAGAGAGAATGACAGATCCTTACCAGGCTGCTCTTGTCTTGTAGAAGAGCTGTACTGTACTGTATATGACACAGCAGCAGGTACACAGTGTGGAAGACACAAACACAGCAGTGTCTGGGGTCTGGATCTTGTGCATCATGCTGTGTCTGCTGCAGAGACTTGTGCGGAAGATTATTAGCAGACATGCAGCTGCAAGAATGCACAACTCTAGTAGGTTTGGTATTCAAGAGTATGAAATATACAACTGCTTGTAAATTTACAGACCTTTCAGACCTTAATCACTACGTTTCTGTAGTGATAAAATGACAACATATGATCTCATTGTTTTGTTTGTTTGTTGTTACATAGACTTTGCACATCTTCCTCTCCTCAGATTTTTCTCTTCACCTTGAATTATAAAGGCAACATATATATTTCTGGAAATTTTACTTTCTTTCCATGCTCTTGATAAAAATATATTTGACAAATATCAAGAAAAGAAAAACACAACAATGAAAGTTAAATGATAAAATATGGTAATGGTATTTCTGTCCATCCTGACATTTTCTAACTGCTTTATCAGGGTCGGGTGGAACCAGAGTATATCTCGGCAACCAGTAATTCTATCATTTAATGCAAATAATATTCCTTTTCATTCTTCTTTATTTGAAATTTTCATTTAACGCAGTTTTCAAAGCTCCACACAACATGTTTTGAAATTAAAATCTCTCTTTGTGTATTTGTCTTTCAAGCTAGGCACATAAGGAAAACTCCCATGCACATTTTGTGTAGGGAAAATAAAGGTATGTGAAGTCTTCACTAAACAGACACACAAACAAAACATTATGTTATTTTTTCTTCTCTTTATATAGTAGGTCAGGAGTGTTTCACTGAGTCATAGCTGTGGAATGGTGAGGGTCAATACTAAGTGTTAAGGAAGAGGCTAAATTCAGAACAACTGTAAAAATTATTGAATATCTAGTTTTAAAACACGGTTAATTTTCTCCACACAGTATGAGTTTTATTCTGATGTTAAAATATTGTGTGTTTTTTTCAACCTAGCACAACACAGAACACGGACACCAAAGGTCTCACTGTGACTATGAAATATATCAACTCCTGCCTTGTACCACTGTAACCAGGGCAACTAAATCAAATGATTTAATTTACCAGGAGCTGTGCAGTGTATTCACACTTTAGTAAAATGTTAGTTTCAAATCAATTTTGTAAAAAGTATGGATTACCTCAATGGCTTGTAGCAAGAATACTTGTGGCTTGAGTAGCTAAGCAGGAAGAGAGCAGACAGATGCAATAAGCCTCACAGCCATACCCAACAGGCACAGACACTGAGCTGCTTTCATAGCGATGAAATCCCATCATCTGGGTTGCCCATCATTTTGCTGAAACTTCGGTCTAAAGTTGAACTCCAACAGCTGTATTTTAATGCGTTGTTAGGGGTTATTTAGAGCACTAGATTACCCATTTACTTTAATTCTCAAATCAACAATATGATGCATCATTGTATTAACAGTAAAACATATTCTATTTCAATTAACTGCTCAGTACCAAAACATGTTCTTACTTGTGCAATAAAGCATCAGTTGTCAAGCTTTTAAATTACAGCTGGTTAGAATTCTCTGTTGATTTGCCCTGAGCCACATGAACTAATACTTTCAGCCAGCACAGTTAATATTTATGTACAAAGAAGCACATAAATACATTTCTGCTACATTTCATGCAGGCGAATCTCCAGTGAAAATGCTTCAGACAGCAGTCTGTTTTGGAGATGGACATAGTGCAAACAGATGGCAACAGACACCAAGACATGGAGAATCTATGGTTTTGAAAACTGTTGAGTACCAATTAGATACACTTACAAGTAGATGTAAATTAAGTACAATTTCAGAATAGAACCTTACACGTATTCCTTTCTCTGCCATTTTAAAATACTGCTGTGAATTTTTAAATATTTATTCTTCTGTTTGAGACACCTATAAAAAAATAAGCGCTGGTATTATAGGTAACAATACATTGTATCCTTGTTGAATTTTTAAAAGAATTCTACCATTTATCAAAAGTAAGATTTAAAGAGGTTCACAAACACCATACGATTCATTTACAAATATTATTCTTCATACACTAGATATTCACTGCAATACATCTTATCCAAAATCTGTGGTATAAAATACATTTAATAACATGCTGTTCTTAGCTTTCTACAAAATGTACTCTGTAGCACCACAAAGTCATACCTCATATTTGACATTCTTAAGAATTACTGTTATTTTTGATTATTTTTATTATCTTTACATTCACTTGCACTGCCAATGAGGAGGAAGATACAGAGTTATTAATATTGTGATTAAAAGAGAAGAAAGAAGGCATTGCATGTTGCTAGAACTTCAGAACTTTACATTGGACCCGGAAAACTGTTATTTCTCCTTAAGATGCTATTAATGCTATGAAAGGACATCTTATTAGGACCGATCATGAGAGGCACAACCTCGCTTTTACTGGTCTTCTCTGGAGAGAACGTGCCACTGTAGGCCGTGAGCGTGGATTCTTTCAATACCCGGCCTTGCTATCGTCTGAAACGCGGAACACATTTGCTTCTTAATAAAACAAATCCGCAATCGCGAAAAGAAAAGGATCGAGCGGTTGAAGAGGTCAGAATTCGGACACCACATGCAAAGACAATCACAGCGTTCATCCAGCACAGCCAGGGACAAGGGCTGTACGCGGCCAGGCGGAGTGTACAGTATTTCTCTACTCCCTGGCCATGTTTGTGAGGTACATTATCTCTCAGCCACACAATCTCCTATTGACCACTGCTGAATAAACAATTGTGTTGTTTTTTTTGGCCAAGGAGTGGGATTCTGTCGTACCTATTGAAAACCGAAACCACAGGAAACAGAATGAATTTGGCATGCGCGGTTTAATGAATGACTGGGGGGGGGTGTTAATTATTTTTTTCTTCCATGGAGTATTTGCTACAACCCAAACACGGTATTCATAACCAAACCGGAACCAAAGGAGGTGGCTCCTTCGACGGCTTACGACATTCACGCCTTTACAAATCGCACTTTTAGCCGACTTAGAGAGCGAGAACACGGTTCGCCGGGCGGGAGTGACGTCGAAGGGGCACTGTCACTTCAATTCAAGGTGCTTTATTAGCCTGACCGAGGGGTACAATCAGCGCTGCCAAAGCAAATGACAGTCTCTCTCTCCCTCTCTACCTGTTCTCGGGTCTGACGCTCAGCAGGTAGTTGCGGCTGTCGGCGCGCGCACTGGGCGCGGGGGCCTCCTCCCCATCCTGGCTGGCCGAGCCGCTGAAGGATAACCTCCCGTTTCCCGAGAAGGAGCGGGACATCGGCCTCCTGGAACCCATCTTCCACACCGGCGCAGGCTGTTCGCTGGGACACCCAGGGACTCCCTCAAAAACCGAGGCTTGGAGGTCTCGACGCGCAGCAGAACAGGGGGGGTCGAGTTCTCTTTAATCCACTTAATTCCAGGTCAGTCCGACAAGTGTCACCTGTTAGACGGACATCAGCTGGAAGAAGTAAAAGAGACAAAAAACGTTACAAAATGAGTTTCCCGGGGCTGTCGATGTTGCAAAGCGGGTTCGAGTATTTTTTTTTTGTCCCCGGGAAGAGAAAGCAATAGCAAAACACACCTTAACACCTTCATAACGTTCGGATTTTAAAGCAAACAACCCAGCCAAGATACCCCCGGCTTTCCTCGAACTTGCCGTACGCTTTGCCCTGCTTTTCAAGCTAAAAATAGGCGTCTCGACGAAACAATAGAGTTACTCTGAAAACAAACTCCAAACACCCTGCCCAGAAACTTTTGGAACCGGCAGCGGCTACCGCCGAGTGAAACTTAGTTTTGAATGGGCCGTCCATATGAGATTTTCACTCAAACCATGCTTATTAACTCACCATTTATTTCTCAAGCCCTTCGGAGACAGCCCGCAGCTCCGGCGCAAAGCTCTGCATTTGTCAATCACACACGAGCACGCGCTGCCTGGGGCGCGCTATTTATAGCAGGGCCCACAAATAGACACAAGTGCACATCACATTTTCCAAAACCTGCCCTCAGACCCCTGTCTGCAACCGGGAGACCCAGGAAATCTGAAGGGCAAGAAAAACTGCAAAGCTCCGGGACAGGCTGTTGAAAACCTATTAGATCAGACACATAAAGGGCTTCACAACAGAGGCAGGTTCACACCAGGAGAGAAAAACCCCAACAACAGCTGGCACTCTTCAAATGTTGATAGCCTGAAATTAATTCACAGCGGCCCAGGACACTTTCTTGGGACTGGTCTGTCCCAAATCGTTTACGCGTGTTTTAAAGCACAGGGGGCTTTGTTCCTTTGCAATGTGGCCTATTCCAGCTCTGTTGAGATGGCTCTTCTGGGGCACTGAATGAAGGCAGACCTTTCATATGACCCCGTCAATCACTGCTAGCGCACCGCCCTCGGAAAGCCCTTTAACATGGGCTGTAGATTCTGGCGTCTGGTCGCTGCGGGTTCATTTTCCAAAACACGAATGTACTTGTTTGTGTTGCCCTGTCACACAGGGGACACTGTGCACACTTGTACACTGTGATCAGTAAGGAATTCCAGAGCTGACAAACCTTGGAATGTGTTTCACAAGTGTAGAACATGCCCATGTGCTCTGTATGGGGACCAGGAGGACTGTGCGAAACTGTGTCACACAGAATCCTCCAGAACACAGGTTTAATGAGGTGTCATTCATGAATTGCAGGTGGTCGAGGGATTTTCATCCGGAGGGATCCTCAAAGCTCTTGACTTACAAGAGGGACCTGCTGCAGCCCCACCGAGCTGACACACAGCTGCCCCCAGCACAGCAGGTCAGGGGCAGGAAGGGGAAATTATTTTACCAATGGCCTTGCAAAAAGCTGGCCTAGACATGAGAGCATTTAAAAGACTGTGGATTCCCAATGCATGTAAAACTATAAGTGTAATGATGCTTTTTTCCTCTGTATATTAGACAGCAGTGGAATCAACCATGTCTAGAACTTTACATCTGACCTGTATGAGATATAACATCCATCAAATATTCTAGGTGGGCGAATAAAGGGTATTTTTACTAGCCTTATGCCAGAGAATCGGCGAGGGATGACTGGGAGGCTCAGTATTACCTAAGGTTGTACAGATACTCTCACTTTCCATAAGCCCAACCTTCTTACAAATGACAAACGACACTAGTCAATTTAAATGAATACTGTACAAACATCCCACACCATGACACGCTGTAACTATATATTTTTTTGAATTCATGTATCAGAGTTTACTTATCAAGGAAATACCACCCGATACAGCCGTAAGCTTACACAAAACTGCGATAACGATGCAAGCAGTACCCATTCACCTCCCACGCGGTGCCAACCAGTGAACAGGAATCAGTCTAGAATTGAACAGAAGGGTGTCATTATTTCCGAACCGTATATCATTGCAGAGAACCGCACGCTTTTTCTTGACCTCCCATCTCCTCCACGTGCTTCTTGTATTGCAATACGTGTACGCTGAAGATGTCCATTTTGTAGTCCTCATGAATTAAAAACTTAAAGGTGACTTGTTGTTCCACGACAACCGCAATACTCCCAGGTTACTTTTGAAAATATATTAGTATTATTTGGATAGCACGCCAATTTTACATTTGCCAAAAGCCGCTACAATATTTTTCAGTTATTCATTGTTTTGCCACGCGTTAACGGGCGATTACAGTGTTAGCTGTCACAAAAGTTTTCAGTTTTTTTCTTTCCCTGTTTTAACAAACCCCTCTCTATATAGGGATTTTTTTAAACAAAGGTAATGATAGTTCATTTATTATTAAGAATAATTATCATCAAGCATCTTATGCGGTAGGTCAGTGGATCTGTCGCAAGCAGTGTCCACCACTGATATCATACTTCACTAGATATTAGATGACATGATTCTGGGGATCCCTCCAGACAGCCTCCGAAACCCCAAAATAAAGAAATCGAGACAAGCATTTTAAAGGCACTTGCACTCCAGATTATACGGGACAGTGCTAGACAAGTGACTTCCTGAAAGTGGAATTTTCCTGAACTCAAATTATGAGGCGAAATGGTTTTGCGATACAGCTTCTGGCTTCAGGGCGATACTTTACAACTGACTCCGGAGGTTTGACGCGACGGGAGTACTTTTTGGGTCGCTGCTGTTTGAAATCGCGGGATTAAAAAAAAGGTCGTCTTTCGTGGGACAGGTAAATCTGTTGCTTGTGAGGGGTACCTGGATTGAAACAATTTAAAAACGTAAATTCTTTAAAACTCCTTAAATTCTTTAAAGCTTCCTTTCGGTGAAGTACAAGTTGGTTTAGAACGCAAACGTAGTTTATTCATATTTCTTTTATTCTGCTTATAATTTGCTTGGTAAATTTGGTGTGCCACTGAGGGAATATTGAAACTGTTTTGATAACCAATGTTATGATGTATATGTTACAGTGTCATAAAACGTCAAACCTTGGTAACCCGACAGTGGTTAAAGCGCCAGCGAATGAAATGTGCCACAAAAACATGTGTCTTGTTTACGCTTTATGAATGTTTATGAATACTGTGGCTCTTGGCACAACCTATATGACGATAACTGTGTTGTTCACGTTTACGAACACAAGCCGATATCTTGAGCAGTTGTAACAACAAATAGAGAGTTTATCTCGTTACACAGACGAAAGACCCCAGCTCCGAGACCTTTGCTAATTTTGTTTACAAACATAATGATACATGTGGAGAGATATCTAAATAAACACAACATTAAATGAGAACGAACATAACCGTCTTAGTCACTCTATTTTAATTTCTTCTTCATCTGGTGAACCGTTTTTTCTGGGTTTCTGAATATTGCCTCATAACCTGATTTTGAAGAAAAAAGACACGTATATGTGTGTGCGATGATACTGTATTAAGTACAAACTTCAATTTCAGATTAAAATGGAAAGCCTTTATCAGTTTGCCGTTTTTCCGTTTAATGGTTACTCTCAAGAGTCCAGAGCTGGCTCACGTGTGGAGTTCCCTCTGCGATGGTCACTCTGAAATGGTCACATGTACAGACCCCTTGCAGCTGGAACTGGCCGGGCTGAACACCTGCGAGCTCAGTTTGCAGGGTGGGCCTGAGTCAGGGGGGTGATCTGACCTAGCGCCCTGCCTAACAGTCCTCAATCCTTTCATAAACAGGGATTTTTTTCCATTCCTGATTTGCAGAAATACCTTGTGAATCCTTCGTACTATCCGCAATGAAAGAGCTTTAAAAGTCAGTTTGAATATTCCGATCACACTGGAAATCGTTGCAGGAGTACTGGATGCATGTGGACAGAAAGAAGAGGAAAGCTCCTGTGTTGTACACACGGTTTAAAAAAAACCATATCAGGATGCCTCTTCTTCAGCTTTTTAGTGGGCTGCAGTTTGGCCTCTTCCAAAATCTTGATACAAAGCGTGCTTATCTTTTTTTTTTAATAGACAGCAAGATGCTTTTCGGAAAAGTCTAACTGTGACTATCTTCGTTTCAGTAGCGTGAGGAAATATGCAGTCTCATGGACCTTAACCACACAGCCCACTTCTGAGAATGACAGAGGAAGATCATACGCGGTGCGTAGAAGCTCTCCGTTCAGGTGAGAGACGATCATGATACATGTTAATTAACCTACAAGGAATGGGTGAGGGTTTTTAAATATAGCAGGCTCTGCAGAAGAGAACCTGGTATGTCCTGTGAGATTTGATTAAAACAAGTATACACCTTTTTTTTTTTGCTCGATTTTAAGTTACTGTAGGAATCAGAAGGCTAAAAATGACACCAAAACATAAACAAATAAAAGCATGTACTCACACTTTGTCATAGGGACTGAGTAAGCCTCTGGAGTCTGCAGTAGGTTTTGACTTTAAGAAAGGGTGAGAGCAGAGCAGGTGATGTATTGTTGTCTGCCCGAGACTAGTTAACATTTTGTTTAACCACTTAAATATTAATAACACAGCAGTAAGTCTGAAAGATTTGTCCTGACCAGTGTAGAAGTACTGTTGAATTGTGATTTTTTAAAAACTTTTTGATTGTTTTGAAGTTATAATTTTTATCTCTGCCATCTGACCAATATCTTCATTTCATAAATATTGCTGCAAAGGGTGGATCATAAAGCTTTTCAAGCAAGACGTACATTTTAAAAAAATTTAATTGAGTCATAAATCATGTGGTTTTGGTTAGTTTTGCTTTGTTTACAACAAATCCAGACCACAGAGAATCTGGTGGTACTGCTACATAACCCAGTAGTATTATTAAGGTAATATTTAGATGGACATTTCATGTATATTCCCTAATTGTGTTACGCAGAGGCTCCATATATACAGTGCCTTCAGAAAGTATTCACTTCGAATTGATTATTTCTCGTGCTGCTGTGTTGCAAAGGCAAATTAAAGCATATTTAAATGGATTTTTTCCACTGCTGTAGATGTAATTCTCTATAATGTTAAAATGAAATAAAATATTTAGAGGTCTTGAGAAATATTACAAATAAAAATCTGAAAATTACTTAATTGATAAGCATTCACCCCCTTTGTTTTAACAACCTAAATTGGGTGAGGTATTCAATTAGTGTACATGTGTGAATCTCAAATCCACATGTGTTCAATTGCTTGATTGCACAATAAATATCACTGACTTTGTGAGGTCTCACAATTGAAACAGCAGATCAGATCAGTCCTGCGGTCATGAAGACCCAACGAACTGCCCATGGAACTTCGAGATGACGTTGTTAGGAGTGATAAAAGCTGGAGAAGGTTATAAAGAGACTGGCAAAACTTTAAACCTTCCTAATAGCACCATGAAGTCCATTGTAACAAAATGGAAAAAACATGGCACAACCCAGACACTACTAAGATCAGGCTGTCCTAAACAATTGAGCAACCAGACAAGAAGGGCAACTGTCAGAGAAGTGACCAAGAGGCCAGCTACAACACTGACATAGCTCTTTGGCTGAAATGGGAGAAGCTGTCCAGACATCAACAATCTCTTCAGCCGTTCACAGATTCGGCCTCTTTGGGAGAGTGGCTAGAAGGAAGCCACTTCTGAGAAAGGCCAACATTAAGTCATGCCTGGGGTTTGCTAGAAGCCTTGTGACAAAACCTGAAACCTTTGGAAGAACATTTTGTGGTCTGATGAGACTAAAGTTGAGCTCTTTGGCCTGAAAGCAAAGCGCTTTGTTTGGTGCAAACCAAATACAGCCCATCACCCAGGTAACACCATCCCTACCGTCCAGCATGGTGGTGACAGCATCATGCTCTGGGCTTGCTTTTCAGCAGGAGGAACTGGAAAGCTTGTTGATATCAAGGGCAACATGGATGGAGTCAAATACAGGCAAATCCTTGAGGAGAACCTGTTTCAGTCAGCCAGAGATCTGCGTTTAGGGCGAAGATTCATTTTTCAGCAGGAAAAAGCACACAGCAAAAACTGTCAAGGAATGGCTTGAAAAAAAGAAGGTTAGTTGTTCTGAAATGGCCCAGCCAGAGCCCAGACTTGAATCCAATTGAAAATCTGTGGTATGACCTGAAAATTGCTGGCCACTGATGCTCTCCATCTCATTTGGCAGAGTTGGAGCAAATTTGAATTGAAGAATGGGCAGAAATTCCACACTCCAAATGTGCAAAGCTCATACAGACATACCCAAGAAGACTCATGGCTGTAATCGCTGCTAAAGGACTATGTACAAAGTATTGACTCGGGGGGATTCATGCATTTGTAAATGAAAAATGTCAGTCATTTCATTCTGGAGAAACGAATGTAGAATACAAAATATTTTTTTATTCATAAATGTGTTGAATTTATTGTGTTATTGAAGGGAGAAAAATATTTCAATGGGTTAAAATTTGGAGGTGTAACAAGAACAAAATGCAAATAAATTAAAGGGGCTGAATACTTACTGAAGGCACTGTACATGTAATACTCGGAGAAGCATGACGCATGCAGCAAAAACAAAAAGCATTTTGAAATCTACATTAACTCCAGTTGTTTGTTTTACTCAGCATTTGATTCAGAGTCAGCAGACTCCTGTTTTGTATGACAAAGGGTTTTTGTGCAGGAAGGAGACTAAGACTAAAACAACAATCTAAGGAGAAGAAAAACAATTTGTTAGGAGTTGTTGCTTTTTTCAAAGAAGACTGTTCTGAAAGGCATGATTTGCTCTTGTTCTTAGAATTACAACAAGCTGTAAATCTGGCAGACCAGTGCTTCTGTTTTGAAGTAATTAACAGCAGGAGTACTAGTAGGTGAGAGAAGGAGAAGTTAATAAAAAGCACAAGTCCAGACATGCCATTTTTCATCACCAGTGTGTTGCAATAGCACTTTATTTTACAAAGAGCTATAGAGAAATTCACACCAAAGAGTTTTTGGAAAGTACTGTGTGCTGGACTCCAGAGTGATTGGGGGAAAAAGCCGCGTCTCCAACGTCAGCATGTGAAAACCATAGTGCGAATAAACTGACATTTTCATGCAGCCTCACACGGATGGTAATAATTAGTGGTGATAATTTCCCGTCACAGAACTATTTTTGTGCGTTTTTTTTATTTCAAATGAATGCAAGGGCGACATGGTGGCGCAGAGGTGAGCATTGCTGCCTTGCAGGTCTGGGGCCCTGGGTTCAGTTCCAGACCTGGGGTGCTGTCTGTGTGGAGTTTGTATGTTTTCCACTTGTTCATGTGGGCTTCCTCTGGGTGCTCCACAGTCCGAAGGCGTACTGGTAGGGTAATTAGCCCTGTTGTGAGTATGTACGTCTGGGTGTACCCTGTCCTGGCCAGGGCAAGCCCTGCCTTGTGCTCTTTGCAAGCTGGGATAGGCTCCCACTTCCCCATAGCCCTAAATTGGAAGAAGTGGTTAGAAAGTGGGTGGATGGATAAACCAATACACTGAAACCTGTTTTATGGTCTCGGAAATGTCTGGGGTTTGACTGCTGTAGTTTGTTTTATGTATATGAGGTACTGAATTGTTTTCAATTTTTCAACAGGCAGTACAGTATAACGCAGGAATGATTGGCTTTGGCTGTTTCTAAAGTACAATGCAGTGAAAGTTGTTTTACGTGCCAGAGTGTGTGCGCTTGAACTGCTCTGGTTGCCAGGAAAAGCAATGCAAATCATGATAAAAGGTATGTATTTGTTTGTTTTTCTCTGTGTTATTTACATGTTTTTCTGAACAGCAGTGATGCTTTTAAGAGTAGCAAGTAGAAGCTTTCCCAGGACTAATCCTGGAATTCCCCACTCTCTTGGTTTAAATTCCAGTTTAGTTCTATATTCATTCAGTTAATCCAATCTTTAGTTAAACTATTTATTTAAAAAAATATATTTTTATATTTTTCAGTGGTAAGAGAAGTTAAGAAATTGTGTTCAAGGTTCGTTAGGCTTAATTATTCAATTCGGTTAAGAGCTCGGATGCATCAAAAATTTAGAAAGCACAGGGGTACTCAAGAACTAGGACTGCAAAACATTAACTTAGATCTTGCTTTCAGCTTTGTAATAATTGATGGGTTCGTTGCAATTTCCTTTTCAGACATTGTGATAACAGAGCATCCAGTGTCTGTGTGTGTCCCACAGAACTACCCTGTAACCCTGAGCTGTCGGGCAATAGGGAAGGGTACCCTGCAGTACCAGTGGTTCCAGGCGGAAAATGAAGAGGTGAGCAAGAAAGGAGGACTTTTTAATGTCTGTGTGGGTTTTATGTGATAGGAGTGATTTTCTGCTGATACCTAGGTTTACTATGGCATAACATCTTTTTAAATAAAAATAAATTTACTCTAAAATTGACTTACAAACATGTGCATCTGAGTAATTATTTACAAGTGGAAACAGATCGCGTTATTACAATTATCTGTTTTGTTCTGGTATGTTTCTTAATGGAGAATTATATTTCTGAGAACAGAGAGGATCGTCAGAAGAAACTTTAAGTATGTAAACACGCACATATATATATATATGTCCTGTCTTCTTTTTTAATTTCTTTAAATAAACAAGTTGTTAATGGTGTTCAGTAACACTGTTCTGATTGTGGTTAACCGCTGCTTAGAAATCTTGTTTGTCTTGTAAGTTGATTTATTGAGCAATACTTGACAAATTTGGTTTACTGGTAGCTGGCTATGAGAATAGATAAATATTAATTTACGTTATGTAGCAAATAAAGCTGTACAAGCAGTTTCCCAATGTCAGCAGAGTTAATATTTTGTATAATAACTTGGTTGGAGGAGATTTTTACGAAGAACAGTTGAAAAGTTGGTCTGGTTCTGGGAAAGCAGTGTTGAAAATTCTTGGTTATTGCCAGTTTTCAAGGTTGAGCAACAAGTCGGTTATCAATTTGCACTGAGAACAATAAGGGTACTTTGATGCATGAAGCAGATTATACAGGTATTTTGTGTCGTGGTGCCCACAGAAAACTGAATTGGTGTGTATTGTACATATTGCCCCTGGGGAATGTTCTGCCTCTTGTAGATGTCATGTGATTGAGCAGTGTGAGAAGAATCTAGCCTTTTCTTTCAGAGTGTGAGTAACTTTAGCCAGCTTCCTGTCTTCTTGCACATTAAAAAAAATATTCTTTGAAAGTCAACTTTCTCAAAGTTGCTAATCTGATAGTTTTGTCCTAAAAATGTCCTTTCCCCTCTTCCTCTTTAGCCACCCAATCATTCTTCCAGTGCAATCGCAATCTTGTTTTCTACAAAGTGAAGATAACATCCTTTGCGTCATGGTCATCTGACATCATCCTTTATGAGGTTTAATGTACAGTAGCAGGTCTGCTGGAGCAGTTCCACGAGTAGCACCCCCTTCCTGGATTCTAATGAATGTTCATAAACTCCGTTATTAAAGATGACAATAACACATCAACACTTTTTGTTGTTTTTCAAGGTCCCAGGGGCAGCTCATCCCGACCTGGTCACGACTGCAAAAAAAACCCAAGTGTACATCTGCAGGGTGAACGACCAGCACAGTAACTGTGTGTTCAGTGACTGGGTGAAAGTGAAAGTCCGGGACGTCCTGAGGCCAGGTAGGGAACATTTCCGCTTTGATCTCACAAGGTGGAGACAAGTGTGAGGAGCTGGAATGTTTAGAAACGTCCACATTTATGCACATATCAAAAACACTTTCTTAAAATCCTTTGATTCATAGTTCTCCTTCTGCTGGCTGACTACCATTCTGAGTAACGACTTGCTTTTGTACAGTTGTGTATTTGTCACTGCTGGTTTATCACTGCCTTGCGTAAACAGCTGAGGTTTTTTATCCTATGGGATGCATGCACTGCCTGCATACTTTTATTCTTCCTGTCCAGAGTGCTGTAAGCATGTAATGCATTCTCCCTCTGTGTGGCTCACAGGGATTCCTGCTCCATGGCTTGGAGAACCACATATTGTAGCCCACCCCACGTCGCTGTCTGTCAGACCCGGGGAGACAGCAGCACTGCAGTGCACTGCTTTCGGCATCCCTGCCCCACACTATCAGTGGTACAAGAATGGTAACCTGATGCAAGGGGAGACAGGAGAAACATTACTAGTAAGTCTGCTGGAAATTCACTGATAAAATGTGGTGCATTCATTAGGGACTACCTGCTCTAGGGTATATGGACCTTGGTTTTAAGTGAGCTCCTTGAATCTGAAAATGGACAACTGTATTCAGCAGAGCAGGATGGCCATGTCTGTCTGTGTAATGGACCTGGGGCGTTGCCTGTCTTGGGGGCCTGTTTTGACTGAGTCACTGTCATGTGAATACCGAGCCTTGTTCTTATTGGCTGGCTGGCTTCTTGGGTGGCGGCCTTGTTTCGGTCCAGTTTTGGGGGCGAGGCTGCGATTTCCGCATGTGTTTTGCAGTTATATTTGTTGAGCCTTAGTTGTCGTCAACTCCTTGTTTTGTACCTGGATGTTTTCAGTAATTTTGTAAATAAAAAAGCCCGGTTTTTAAACACCGTGGCCCGATGGGTCCAGTTACACGTCGGACCACTCAGGTGTCAGCTGTGACACCAGTTAAGGCCTCTTTCCCATCTGAATTCCACTTTTGCAGGGCCTGGGCAAGCTGCATTATCGCCAAAGCTGTCAGTTCACAGAGCTTGTCCTCCCTATACGATAACATTCTGAGAAAGTTGTGCTAGCTCTCCTCTTTTGAAATAAACGAAGCTTAGATCATATTGTTTTTATATCTTAGAAATTGTGGGCTTATTGCCCATTCTGTATTCTTCCATAATTCTATGGAAAATTGAAAACTACAATTCACTGATTAATCCAATACTACATGTTACTGTACATGAATTTGTTGCTGGGAAGACAAAATCTGTTATTTGCTTAAAATTCAGTGCATGATTACTATTTCTCCTCATTTTTCAGATCAGGAATGCAAATAAGAACCAGGAAGGAACATATCTGTGCTCTGTCTCAAATGTGCATGAAGAAAAATGGACGGAGCCAGCCGATGTAAATTTAGGTAATAAATGGATTTTGATCATTTTGCTACAGTTTTGTTTTAGCTTTTGACAATACAACAGCAGTTGGCCGTGTGGGCACAAATCAGAGGGAAGGGAAAAGTCCTAGTTTGAGAAAATATAACTTTGGGTTTCCCTGGCCTGGTGCTTCAACTCCCAAAACGTCTTTTACATAGTTTTCTACATCCTGGCATGTGTTAGTGTCACTGTACATGAGCTCCACCCTTTAAATACCTCTCGGCTATAAAAACTAAGTCAACATTCAGTTAATAAATCTTTTACAGTGTGCCAGGAAAATATTGTGTAGCTTGTATTGCTTCCCTTTTTGTCTTTTTTTTTTTGCTGCCAGGAAATGTCCTTTACTTGAAAAGCTTCATTTTGAAGACATTGGAATATAAATGTAATATTCCACTTTTCTGCAGTGGCACAGAAAAAAAACTTTTTTTTGTCTTAACCAGAGTATAAAGTAACCGGATTATTATTCAGTCAGAAACACTGCCACCAGACAAAAGTGTATTTTTAAATAATTTTGTGACATGTTGTATTGTAAACTGACATGTCCTCAAAATGCTACAGTATGTAAGAGCTACAGTCATCAGAGCTAGTGAGGGTCCCACGAACAGAGCCCATCATCGTTGTTGACTTACTTGAAAGCTGAATCATTAGTGCTATATATGCTTAAAGCCTGTTAATTTGTGCTTGTTAAGAAGCATAAATGCTATTATACATGTTATTTCTGAATTTCTAAAAATTGGTGGTAATCTCAATTTGTTAATTTTATTGCTTCATTAAATGTAAATAGTGTGTGGAGTTGGAGTTCATCACTCCCTGCCTTGAAAGCCATAATCAGACTTGTTGAACAATGTCTGCCTCTTAATTAAACTGTAAAAACATGATGAGAGAAATCCAGTTGTTTTCTTGGCTACGTCATTCTTATTTGTGTCCAATCTCTTCATTTGGATTCGGAAGATATACTTGCTGTGTCTCACATCGCATGTTTTATAAAATAAAGACAAATTGTCTTTTTGTAGAATTTACGAATTGTGCCCTTTTAAACTTGGCAGGTAGTGTACTGTATATACTTGGAAAAGTTGTACTTTTTCCTCTTTTAATATTTTTGATGGCAAACACAAAAAGGTGGAGCATGCCTTGTGTGATAGCCCCTTTTGGTATAATTCCTTTTAAAGGGTATTTCCATTTGTTCAGAGGATAAATGGTACTTTCCCTGGTTAAAAAAAGAAGTGCATGCTTTTTTAGGAAGTTGGAGACATCTACTTAATCTGCCTGGGCGAAAGATTAAAACTGAAACTAGCACCTTACAATATATACTTCTTCTTTTTTGGTGGTTTACAATTCAGAATATGACACAAAAAAGACGGACATTAAACTGCCATATTTCTATGCTACTGTTGGACATGATAAAGTATCAACCCCTTAATTTATGGATTCACTGTATAATGTTTGTTTTTTCCAAAGTTAGGAAAAAAACAAGAGTTTTATATTTTTTGACCTACATAATGTCTTTGGCCTTCTCTCATTTTTTTTTCCTCCCTCACAGTGCTTCCTGATAAGCCCACAGCAAAGAAATTTTATGGTAAGTCTAAACAGTTTAAGAAGAACAGAATGAACTCTGTGTCCTTTAATCTCTAGATATGTTTTTTTTCTTTTGCTATCCTTTCAATTGTGCATTCTTAGCTGTTAGTTGTTTTTTCCCTACTTTATTTTTGGTTGTTATGATGTCCTGACATTTAAAATTGTGTTGCCCCTGATTAATCAGGATATTTACAACACAGAAGTAAATGTTACAGACTTTTCTTTTTCAGTTGCTCTTCTTAAATAGCAAGTGTCTGTTTTTATTTTTTAAGCAATGGTAAATGTTTAGTGCCGTTTTATTAAACATATTTAGATTACGTAGGTTATAGAGAGTAATTCATTGGGACATTAAGAGCTACAGGCTTTTAAAGAAAGCAATGCCATTTGTTGTGTATTTTGAGACTATTATGTTTTGGAATATGTAAACATATCTCTTGTGTCTCAAAATACACAACAAATGGCATAAACACACTTATGGACTTAATAGAAAGCGTGATGTTTTTCTTGCGGGATCACATGTATTGAAAGCCACTTACATTTCCACAGTTTGGTATTTCACTGGAGCAATTTACAGGAACGTGCTTGCTTAAGGGTACAACACCATTGGGATTTGAACCCTCAACTTTCCAGTTACAAATCTAGAACCATAACAGCTGCTCCGCACTGCTGGAGTGTAGGTAACTATCAGGTAAAGGATCAATCTACTAAGCAGCTGGAGTGAGGTGGTCTCATTTAGTTTGTTTCACTCCTGTGATTTTTTTTTCTGGTTTAGCAACTGACAAAGTGGCTCTCCTGATTGGCAATCTGAATTACTCCAACCACCCCAATCTGATCGCGCCCATGATTGACGTCCATGAGCTGGCCAACCTCCTGCAGCAGCTGGGCTTCCGCGTGGTGTCCCTGCTGGACCTCACCAAGCAGGAGATGTGTGCCGTGATCGACGAGTTCCTGCAGCTTCTGGACAGGGGCGTCTACGGTGAGCTCAGAACAAAAATGAAAGAGTACAGCGTGAAAACTGTGAAGGAGCAAACGGCAACAGCAGGGCCAGCAGCTGAACTGGTTAGGCCAGAATTGTTTTTTTTTTTTGTTTCTCAGGTTTGTTCCATCCAGCAAGATCTGGAAAAATGGTTAGTTCATTCCAAACGTGCATAAACGAAAGTGCCAGATTTGATCTTGTTCACTTCTTATTCCATCTCAAACCTTTAGTCTTTTTTATTTTCCTGTGCTCAAAAGGGGGTCTTTTTATTTTATTTTTTATTTTAATGAGTACAAATTACTGTAACAGTATGTCTGTCACACCTGCTGAGGTCCCTAGTTGGTTGAAGATTTTGACATTTTGAGAGAATGGGAGGACTTATCCTGGTGTGGCCTCATGGTTTGTTGTTTAATGGAGCATATGACTGGATATTTCCCTTTAATTACCTCCCTTTGGCTTTGTTTATGTCCTTCACGAATCCGTGGTGGGAAAAACAGAAACGAATGATTTCATTTCACTACACAAACGTACTTTTAAGAGAATGACATCATTTCCAAGTGTGTGTGCCTGTCAACATGTGTGTGTGTACACTGACTGCATAGAAACTACCGTGAACTCGGCAAGCTGCATGAACTATATCAACGCGAGGTTGTCAGCTGACCATAGCCATCCTCAGGTCTCAGTCCTGGAATGTGCACTCCAGTCGTGCACACTGTTACCTTCACCACAGCCTCAGCTGAAGACGATCCTTCTGGAGGAATGGGAAAGCGTATTTGAGAACTGAAAGATACTTTTATAACAGCACGGCGTATGTGCCTGCTCCTACGACTTGCAGAGACCCGACCTTATATGGCGTGGGTTCCTAATATTTTGGCCTGTGACGTACTGTATGTTGCTGCCTCCTCGGCAGCTATTATTTGAGCACGTGAGCTGTGAATCAGTGTCGAGTGATGTCGCCAGTTTGAGCGTTACCATTTTCTGTCTTTCAGAAGACCGAGGCACAGTTCGTAACTGCTGTAAACCTTTATTTCACCTGTAAGTTTGACATAAAGAACCAGGGGTACAGCACTGCTGGCAGTGCACTTTAAATTCTGTGCCTTCTATATAGACTTTCTGTCTATTTTAATCCAGTCAGACTGTTTTCTTGTGTTATAGTCGCCACATCCTGGGGAAAAAAAAGACCATGAATGCTGGGGTTCTCTTGTCTTTCAAAACTTCTGTGACTGGAGCTAATTTTTTAAGTGCCAACACACTGTGTACTTCATAAAGAACTGGAATCCTGAATTGATTACAGTGGTTTTAATTACATTCTGCTGTTGTATTTATTGTCTGCCAGTGCAGTTTTGAATCATCTCTACTTTCAGAATGCTGTGGCGGGGGAGTTATTAGGCTGAGGCCAAAATGTCCTCAGTCACTATGGTCTTTCATGTTGTACTGTTGGAGTACAGTGTACCTTTTATTTTTAGGAACATGTAATAGGTTTATTCCCTGCTGAAAAGTGAAAAAACAAAAGACAATGAAGGCTCCACAGCTAAAAGGGGTGCTGTATAAACGGCTGACCCTGCGCTCTGACCCCCAGCTTCTCTCCCTGTCTGTGTGTCTCATGGAGAGCAAGCTGGGGTATGCGAAAAGACAAATTCCTAATGCAAGAAATTGTATATGGCCAATAAAGTGATCTTATCTTAAATCTTAACCTATTACTTGTTCCTTTGCAGTTTACGCATGCTGACACAGCTATCCACCTGAAGTACTTTCTATTTTTAGACAACTTTTTTTCGTGCTGCTTTGATTTTAGAGGACAGAGTAGGGATGCTCACTCCCCTCGCCTTTGAGAAATTTCCCCTGCAAATTAATACGTATTGAAAAATTGTTTCAGAACGAAATGTACCAGAATGTTAGTACAACTGCAGTAGAAATGTAGCATTTGTGATCCTGTTGTTGAACAGTTTTAAAGCAGAACAGTCTAATGTTTGATGGAGGTATTTTCTGCATGCTTTAAAATGATTACTTGAAAATGTGAAAAAAATAGTTGTTTGCTCTTTGATTATATAGAAAGCCCCATAAAACTGAACCAATCTAGAGACATTCTGACAATGTTGCAGATTAATTTAGAACTCTGAAAATCTGCAAAAGGACTGGTTGTCTTACTTTGGGCTGGCCTTCGCAGTGCTTGGTTTGGGTGACAGAAATAAGAAGCGCAGCTCTTTAAAGTGGGAGGCAGCCATGTTTAGCACAGTATTAGTCATGTACTCTAGCACTTCCATAGGGAACTACTGGAATGTGCCTTTTACGTCTCTAGGACTATGATTCAGATGATTTCTTTTGTGACACTTTATTTTTTAGGAAGTAAGCAATACATCAAGCCACGATAAATACATGGGGTCTTACGCCAGGGTTTGCAACTACGTTTGTCACAGCATTTTGTGAAATTTTGCCGCGTGCTTGTCAGAATGGGGATTTGCTGTTTTTTCTGCTACCAAGTCAGAGCTGGTTTCTGGCACTGTAACACGTACTGCATACAGCCAAACCAAATACTGGGACTTTCTGTAAGCAGTGCCTGTTTTTACAATCCTGTTAACACTCACAAGACATTGCATGGGACAGTCTACAGCATCATAACAAAAGAAAGGCCGCATACATTTTAAAAGTTTGAAAACTCATTAAAAAACAAGCTATACCTATTTCCTTTGAAAGGAGCGCAGGTGTTCTCTTTCAAAGTATTAAGCAACATCTACCCTTGGCAAATGAAGGCTGCATACTGCACTGGACTGTAGGGCCTCTTTATCTTGGTGCAGCGCTGGTCGTTTTCACTGGAACATATCCAAGGAAAATAATTAACAGCGCTAACTCTCATGAGCCTTCTGCTCTGCATCTATTACATTTCAACATCTGTTTTGCATTTTGTACATTTGTTGTGATCCAGTGAGCTGTTTTTAAAAGCTGACTTGTGTTTGTGTGGTAAAACTACAGTCTTACAGTTGTTGCTGCAATAGGTTAGCCACGGGTTAACAATGAATGACGTCCGTGGTGATTTTGTTTAATGATGTTTTCAAAGGATGAGGAAGGGGGAGCAAATCTACTTTGTGCCTAGGGCCGTAAAAAGTCTGAATCTGCCCCTGGTGGTAGTATAATATGTTCCAGGGATCACCTTTGTGTACAGAGAGCAAGGAAAGGCAGCAGTTGTTTTTTTATATACTGTAGTACATTGGAGGAGATATGGGGAGATCCCCTAGAATGTACTGTAGATACTGGGAAGTTAAAGTTAGTTTGACTTGGGTCTGAGCTGGTCAGCATCCCAAAACAAGAAAACTGATGCCCTCCGTCGCTCTTACTCATACAGATAGCAGAGCTAAAGGAAAGGCTGTGTCGTCTGTGTGTCTCCATAACGGCTTAAATTCCATTTCCCTGTGCCGCTTCCCCTTTTGTTAAAGAAGTAAAGAGCTTTTCCGTTTGGCTATTTTTATCTGTCAAATTCGCATGTAATAGCAGCTCCTGTCATGTAAGAGTGGATGGCAGTATTACTCATTTGTCTGTCTACCACAAAACTCTTGTTTTTTATCAGGCATCTGTAATGACTTTCTATAGAGCAATTATAGATTACATAATTAGTATGTTCGTACACAAAGGTGTTCAAAGGTTAGTGCTACCCTCGATTGATGTATTCCCTTTGCACTACGCTTCAATACATGAACAAACTATCAGTAAATGAGTAGTTGACACTCATGAGGGAAATAAAAACTGCAGTTCTCTTAATATTTGTTTCAATCTTGCCATTGAATTTCAAAAGACAAAAACAATTGACACATTTCAACCATGTAATGCAAATGTTGTGTATTTCCTGTGGCTTTTAAATTCAAACAATTATCACTTAAAGTCTAATTATACCTATTAACATTTTCCATTGTCATGCAATCAAGTACAATTAATGTAATTAGCATTTAAATTTAATATCAATACAAAAGTTTTAGTCACCAATTAATTTCTAATTGTTAGTTTTTAAATCAACTAACTAATTAATATAAAATTCACTGATGATAACAAAAACAGATCATACAAACATCTCTCATCCCAGATCCCCATAACAAGTACTATGACTATAAATAGTTACATCTATACACATGTTGTAATTTAAATTCTAAAACAATTAAATGTTACATTAAAATTTCATCCTATTACTATTTAATCCTATTTAATTCCTATTACATTAAAATTTAATCCAAGGTCCTATATATATTAAATATATAGTATGCTATATATTTTATACAGGTACATGCAATATTTGTATTACCTTTTGCTTAATATTATAAGAAATAGTTATTAAATTTCTACAAGTTCATAGTGCTTTATTGGATAGACCAAAATTGACCTTTGGTATGAGAATACTCTGGGCTGCTAATTGAGTGTATTGTATTTAACTATAGGGGACAGGAGTCTTTTTTCAGCCCTGCACTTGAATTTTCTATTGGCAAAAACGGCCTTGGAAGCATTGATAAACATAAACAGAACCTGAAGCAGTTTGGACTTGCGCCCTGTGTCTGCCGGGCCGCCCACCCGCGGCCACTCTCCGAGGATCAAGTGGTTCCGAAGGTGAAAGGAAAAAGAAAGAAAGAGGGTTAAAAACAACGTTGGGTCTAATGCAAGCGCAGGGTTCTCTCTCTCCCTCTCACTCTCGTTCTTCACTTTCCCTCCCCCTGCGCAGCCTTGTTTTACTATGCTGGCCATGGTTATGAGTGTCCGGGCAGAAACTACTTGGTTCCTATAGACGCCCCCCAGCCCTACCGCCGGGAGAACTGCATCAGCGTGCAGAGGATCATGCGGAGCATGCAGGAGAAGCGCACTGCGCTGAATGTGGTCCTGCTGGATACCTGCAGAAAATGGTGAGTCTCAGGACTCTGGGGAGTCACTGTGCAGAGCTGGGGTGTCTGGCCCTGGTCCTGGGGGGGGTCTCGTTCCAATTAGTGTTATAAGACACCGATGCTAAAGATAGGGCACACCTGTACATTATTGATGAATGAAGCAAGTCCCGAATTCATTAGAAGAACTGTGGTTCTTAAGGGTGGCATTAAGACTTTGTTTCTAAATGATTTCCCAGTTCCCTAAGTTAACAGTTCACCTGTTTTACTGATCACACATTGTGATCCAAGCCATTGGAAATTGTTGATTTAATGGATAATGAGTTAAACCTGCTGTGTTTTGACTCTCCGAGACTGGGACTGAGCACCCCTGATGTAGAGTGGATAACTGACACAGACCCTAAATCTGCACTTGATTAAAACTTGCTCTGAACCGCTTTACAACAGGCAGGGCTCAGCCTGAACATAAGTAGTGATTTAAGGATTGAAAAAAATTCCACCTGCAGATCTTTTGCTCTTTTTTTAACATCTTTGCAGTTTTCCCTAAAAATGATTCAGTTCCTGTAAATCAGTTCCTATTTGTGTGTCAACTCTGTTTTTACGTGCATTCTTTTCTAGGTATAACCAGGGGTGTGTTCCATCGGAGATCAGGTCTTTGGCACCTCTAGGCAACACTGTATATGGATATGCCACGTAAGTGCTGTGCTGTAGAGTTCAGTATTTCCACTTTTTATTGTTTCAATTATGTATTCACTCTTGAAACTGGCTCTTAATATTAACATTGTTCTGCCTAAACTGTTCCGTAAAAATATTTAGTCCGCATTAAGGAAGGTGTGTTATTTAGAGGAACGTAGGATTTTCCTTTTTTTCATAACTAATGTTATGAGATTGTTGGTACAGTTTACAGCACAGTTCTGCTCAGCTGCTCTGATAAGGACTGACCATGACCATGCTGGGTTTCTGTAATGGTGTAGTTTATTAGGCACTTAACAAAATATAGACTGCCCACTTCTACATTTCTGTGTGCAAGCTCCAAATAAAATACAGAGGGACATTGTTATCAAAAATAAAGGAAAACAAACCCAAAAAGCAGAATAAAGGGTTCTTCTACATGGGTGAAAATAAAACGGGTATCATTCTTGAGGCAGGAACTCCAGTACCGTAACACCAAAATGACCAGTGATCTAATGCGTCTTGCAGTGAGAAAAACCTGAATTCCCTCATAAGCCTGACTTCAGAGAACAGGTGCACTTCTCTGGATCTGCCTTGACATCCTGCCTCGCGCAGGCGCAGGATTTGTGCACTCGTGCAGGTCAAGAACTTTGCCCCAGTAGCGAGATCTCCACTTTTTTGTTTCCTATTTTATAGACGTACTGTATCTAGAAAGGTGATGAAGGGGGTTTGTGGCGTGGAAGTGGGACCCCGTGCCGGGGTGTGATAGCCCGGGCTCAGAGTTGTGTCGTTTGCCATTCCAGGTGCGAGGACGCAGAGGCCTACGAAGTTCAGGACGGGGAGCGGAGCTCGGGCATCTTCACCAAGTACCTCAACAAGCACATATTGTCGCCGGAGAAAGTTACTCGCGTCCTGGAACGGGTGCTGGAGGGTAAGGTTCTGGATTTTACTCGTCACCCTACGACAATTTGTGCTAAGACAAACTCTCTAGTGTTAAGACGTTAAGAAGATACCGTGTTGAACAGAGGAAAGCAAACTGTGAATTCCCTTGCATTTCAGCAGAGGTCAACAAACAGCTGGCAGGCGGTTTGTGGGAATTAGTTCCCTCGTCCCCTCTAGTGGTCAGAGTGTATGAGAACTATGGGAACTTGATTCCATTAATTATGCTTTTATTTTATCAGAGAAGCATCTTCAATGAGTTTAAGATTTTCTGTGTTTATGCGGCTGCATGCTCCAGAAAACTCTTTTTAGCCGGTCATTATTCAACATGTTAATCCAAGCTGCCTAGGGGAGAAATTAGCTGACATGCAGGACTGCGGTCCTGTTTATCAGCTTGAAGCGAAGGGGGCTGGCTGACACCCTGGATGGCTTCGGTGCAGCAGTTGTTTTGTTGTTTGCTGGGTCTCTGTGGTAACATGACTGGGCTTTGTGTGACCGGGCTGTGTAAGGGGTGACCTCATTCTCTAGAAATTCATACCAGCGCTGGCTTCCAAACTGCGGAAATGTGAGAGCTCCAGACCTCGGGATGTAGCTCTGGCCTGCACTCTCAAACAGCTCGGCTGCACCTGTCGGGTGCAGGCCACAGGCCCGGCCCTTCACTGAAGCACAAGGCTCGGGGGCCCTGGCGATAGGTGAAGCTGCTCTTTACCGAAGTACAGTACTTCAGACGCGCTGTAACATGGACTGTGTAGATGGGAGAAGAGTAAAAACAGAGCGTGACACACTGCACTGGAATGCGGTGGTGATGTTTGAGATGTTTGTGCCAGTGCAATGGAGGATGCCTTCAAGTGAGACAAACCACCCCACAGTTATTTGAAACGCAGCACCAGGTTCTTCTGATGATCCTTTACACTCCTTCTTGTCACGGGGCCGCTATAAAAGACGCTGTCTCTGTTTTTTAAAGATTTATTTAAAGAAGAAGCAGGGAAATTTTCCACTTTTTTGAAATGGGAGAATTGTCATCCTAAGGGTTCTTTAAAAAAACCCAAAGCAGATTCATGTTCTTCTCCTTCAACTGCAGTATTGTCATGATGTGTTTTTGCTACATCTCTGGAGACATATTAGTGAGCTGTCCTGCCTTATTAATATTGTTTGGTAATAGATGATGTGACATCAGAAAAATATGAGTTTTTGCATTTTTAATGACCTGTGAAATGTTTGATGTCCGATTATCATATAGTAATGGAAATAGAGCCGTTTAATGTGAAACTCCCTTGTTTTCTTATCAGTAGCGAAACATGGCTATCTTTCATTGCAATGTGCTGTATTTGAGCCGAGTTTTAAACAGCTCACATTTCAGCACTGTCCTCACACAGAATCGTTTAATGGTCTTAAATCGGACGTGACGCTGGCACTGAACGACTGCTGTGTGGTTTAGGTTTGACTGATTTAGAAATGGAAAAAAGCTATTGAACTGTAATTCTCACTGATCTCTGATGGTTAGAGAGTGAAAACAGCTTGCTTAAAATATTACTAAAGCTTGTGATGTTACTGAGAAATGTGTGTTTACATTTTAAAGCCAGTATCTAATTTCCTGTAGTAGTCCTCAGTGTGTCAGCCTTTTGATTTTGCAACAGTTTAACCCAGTAATGTCCAGAGACATTTCTTGTTTACCGTTGTTAATGAAATCTTTAACAACAGCTTGCTGTTGTATAAAACCTCAGAACCTGAGTGTAAGAAAGATGAGAGTCATACATAATATTTAGAACTGTGGAGATATAAAGATACAGTTTATATGATTTCTATTTTAGTTAGCTTATCAGGGTTATTTAGAACCTTTAACTGAAAAACAGAAGGAAAACATTGTACCAGTGGAAATAAATAATTTAAAAACATTATCAGTAAACCTTTACCAGGAAATAATTCTTCGGCTTACATGTGCTGGTCATAATCAAATGCCAACATATATTTAATATGTAAGGTATTAATATTTACTTGATTATATCATTGGTTTAACTAAACCACAGTTCAGCAGTGTGGAAAAACATTCACTAACCGAAGGGATAAACTATCCCTGATGTGTTGTTCATGACTCGTCTCATAACACCAATCTTGGTACTGTGACTCTAAAGGTCAAGTGGGCTGAAACATCTGTGAGTACATAGTGATACAGCTGATATCTGTATTAAAAGTGAAATTGCACAGTAAGTCATTATGTGTATGAACAATTAATCTGCATAGTAATAACAAAATTCACCTGCTTTTTCCATTTGTTTCAAAATGATGGTGTATGTTTATCATCTTTGACACTCTTTCTGAGTGTGGGAAGGTGCAGAAGTAATTAACTTGAAATGAATCTGCATTGATTCTTTTATACTGTAGCCAAGTATTTTATCTGCTCTGCGTCACAGTCCCCATGTTTGAGATTCTGTCCTGTTTCCAGATCTTGGGAGAGACCCCCTCATTACTGGAAAGCAGGTGATGGAGATTAAACACACACTAAAGGACCCCCGAGCACTAACTGACCGAATCTGCACTACTGGACATACCATGGAGCTGCAGCTGAGAAACCTGTACTGGAAACACACGAACGGTGAGGGCTGTCGCTGCTGTAGTACTGCCAAGACGGGATTTTGCCTTTGAATTTGAGGCATTTTAAGATCCCTTGGGAGACTCTTTTGTCTGTGTGTGGATTGCAGGTATACAGACAAAGACCTAAACACACGTATCCACGATGATGTTGGAACAGTACAACCTCTGTTGTAAACCTTCGTTTTATTAGTCTAAAAAATAGCTCAAATCATTATTTTTTTCTTCCAGTTTGCTTAGGAAAATTGGACTCATGAATGATCTGGGAAAGGAATGGGGGAGTGTAGGTTTATCCAAACTGAAAAGTTTGCTTTTTTCAGTTTTCATGTGACGGAAAGATCTCTACTAATGCTGTCTGTATAAATGCAATTTATTTCAGACTTTCAGTGGGATATTGTCAATCTTACTCTGCCTAATTGAGGTTCTCACTAATGGCCCTCTTTCCTTTATATCTCTCGGACATTGAACAGCAGAGGTGCTTTCTTTAATTAAGGAGAAATGAAGGTGTCCTGCAGTTGCTCTAGAGTTACTAAAAATTTTTTATTTTATTTATATGCTAAATCGCTCATGCAAACACACGAGAATTATCTTCACTTTCAATTTACTTGCCTCAGTGCAAACTTCCTCTTTTATTTGGTTTCCATTGTTAGAAATAGAACTGAGGTGTTGCCTGAAATATGAGGAAGGATTTCATATTGATTAAATCAGAACAAACAGAATAAGACCTGCTTTTTATCAAGGAAACAACGGGGAATTGCTGCAACTGTTTTGTCTCTCAAAACGATTCAGTGTAAATAATAATAGATGTAGCTTATTATTATCAACTAGCAAATGCAAAAACATGATTATCCATAATATCTAATCTGCGTTACATTTTTGGATGATGCTGCAATATCTCACTTGTTCTTGCTTGACCTAAAGTCGCGGATCCTCAATTATGCAATTTCAGCTCCTCAACAAAGTGTATTCCTAATAACAACAGCAACACTAAACAGCCTCTGTTTTGCCGTCCGGGAGAATTCCAGTTCCGTGGCATTGACCGGTTTCTGTGGGATGTGGGGTTGCTTTTCCAGAGCTGCCGGAGAGGCGGGTGCTGGTGTTCCCCTGTGGCGCGGAGGTGGAGCTCAGCTTCTCGGCCCTGTTCTCCAACGTGATGATCGCGTTCGCCAGCCTGAAGCGGGCGGGGCGCGGCGCCGCGGACTGCAGCCTGAGCCTGCGCAGCGAGCCCGTGAGTGTGCGCCGCCTCTGCACACAGCGGCACCTGGCGCGTTTATCGGTGTAACTGAAGAAAACCACAAACCCACTCGCTTGCATTGAAGTGCAAACGTGGGAGTTTTCATGTACCGGTCTACTTCTTGTAATTACATTTTTAATGATGTCCGTTCCAACTGCTGTTGTGATTACAATCTGACCGCAACAGACCAACAATGAAACGACATTCAAAATCTGCATTTTCTTCTGGACTTGTACGTGAAATATAAATGTGCACAATATAAGTGGGACACCCTGTCTAGAGATAGGTGTTTGTGCTGAAAACACAGGGAAGGAAAGGTTATGAAGCTCACGGTGGAAGGCTCACCCCTCTAGCATCACCAAGAGAAAAAAACATACAGTATTTGCATGATCGGGCTGTTTTAAAAACTCTTTTTTGCTATGGCTCTGAAAAACAGTGTGGATCATTCATGCACTTTCAGACTGACCGAAGCTGTGATACTTTCGAGACATCGCTGTCGACGCTGCTTTTTATGAAGTCCTTCTGAGAGGAAAAGGCAAAAAAATATCTCAGTAGAGCCACCGGCGGTTACAGCACCTTGCCTGGCTGGCTTCCTGTTCAGCTCGTCGTTAATCCCTCCAGTGTGCCGTTGACAAAGCCGTCTGGGTTTCCGTACTTGACTACAGTCTGGGCTTTTAGCGGCAGTCGGACGTGTTTTCCAGCGGAGGTTGCGGGTCGTGGGGGGGGGCGCGAATTGCTGGATTCCCCTCCTCCCCCGCGCGCAGGGGCTCCACGCTCGGCCCCCGCAGTCCTGCGCGCGACAGCAGCCCCAGCCTGCCCCGCGGGTCTGCGGGGGCTGAAGGCAGCGTTAGGGGCTTGTCCCAGCGTCTTCCTCACTTCACACAGCCGGAGGACGGGACCCAGCTTGATCCAAGTGACAACCCCACAGCGGCAAACACAATTCTGCAGTTTGCATCCAGGAGTATACCGAACATTTAAAACTTTTTTTTTTTGGGGGTGGGGGTAAATTAAATTCTGTTCATAATGCAAAGGGAATACATAGAATTAAATGTTTTCATGGGAAAAAAATCCCAATTTTTCTACAATTTCAAATTAAACAACGGTGGTGTTAGGCATGTCCAGTTCTGTCCCTGGAGGAAAGGTCATTTTCCACAGGCTCAGGAATAAGATTGAACTTTCTAACTGATCCCGTTTGTGGATTCCTTCAGGAGAATCCCGTCTGTGACCTCCCCTCAGTGGGCGCTCGCAGATTTCAGTGTTCTGCTTCTTTGATTCACGTTACCTGCACCATGATGAAAGAGCTCGTTTGTTTCTCGTTCTTGTTTAAGTCATTGATTTCCATTAAGATTGTGAAATGACAAGAACGTGGCACTAAGCCAAGGCGTTACGAAACTGTAATGAGGCAAGTGCTTCCTCAGGCACAGAAGAGCTGAGCTCCGTGCGAATTTCACAGCCGGTGATGAGAACTCTTAGCTCTGTGAACCCCAGCGTCAGGGGCAGAGGTTTCATTATAGCATGGCGACCCCTAGAGGACGAGAATGGAGTTGCAAGCAGTGAGGGAAATGGCGAGCCGGGGAAATTCTTTTACTACTTTGTATTGGGGTGTTATTCTTAATTTTAAAAAAAATTCTTAACTTTTCCATTTTCCATTTCTTTCTGTGCTCCACAATAATTAAAAGAGCTAATCAACCCCAGTGGGAATGTTTATTAAACATTTTTCTTGACTGTCAAGTATATATGCACACCTGAAGAAGGCTCTACGGCCGAAACGTTGTGTTCTCTTTTTCTTCTTTTTTTCAGCATGGAATAAACCTATTACTTGTTCCAATGTCAAGTATATACCATTCATTTCCTTTGGGTTGTGCTCTTACATGGGGAGTAATATTTCTATCATATAAATCCCTAACACTTTCACTTCTCTCTGCGCAGGCAATGGAGGATGTGTTCTCAAATATGGAGGACAGGTCGGGTGGGATGGATTCTTTGCTGCTGAGTGGTGCTGATAACCCAGACAGCAGTCTCAGACTGTGTGGCCTACAGAACCTCCAGGTAGACACGTGCACATACAGCAACTGTACAGGCTGGGGCGGAGTGTGCCGGAACATTTCAGCACAGTCGCTTTGTCCCGTGTGGTGCACCTGAGTTTTAACTGCAGTGCAAGATGAACTGATTGAACCTGTTGAGAGTTTTTTCTAACTTTGACTGTTGTGGTAAATTATAGTGCCTTGAGTAAAACATGTGAGAATGTGTAAACATGGCTGATTATATATCATTATATGGATCACCAACAAGTGGTAGATGTAAGGGGTTGCTCCTAGCTTTTTGGCTGCCTCATATGAAAGTGTTAACAGTAAAAACTGGAGACGATATTCTGCTCTTTCCCTCAGGTATATTACTACTGTTATTGGACAGGCTAATAATAGTATACCACAATTCTTTTGTATGCCTAGAGGCATTTAGATAAAGAATGTCATTATGAAGGGATGTGCAGGGCATTTTTTTTGCTATTGTTCAGCTTATCCACGTGCGATAATTGGTTGTTCTCCGACTTTTCTAAAATGGCCCTTCCTGTTTTGCAGAAATCTTTAGTAATCAGGTTGGATTTGCACTATACAGACAGTGACAGCAAGCTGCGGCGCGTGGAAACCAGGGAGGAGGACATCGGCAAGCCTCTGGTGGCCAGGAGCGAGCTGCACAGGCGCGGGCAGGGCAGGGGCCCAGCGGCGCGGGAGTGCAGGGCGGCGGGCGCCTCCTTCCCGA